TTGCAGGCATCTCTGCCTCATGGGAACTTGGGCTGTGAGGAGTCACCAGGCTCTGAGAAGACATCCTGTCCTAGCCATCACCATTATGACTGTAGACACCACTTTGATCAACATAGCATTGCTATTTTGAAATGAAAAACTGTGAGTCTTCCAACTTTTTTTGTCTTTTCCAAGAAGGATGTATATTTGGAGTCACTGGCCTTGAATGTGTATCTCAAGACCACGAAAATAAGGTGGATGGGATTTTAATGTGGGTAGCCTGAATTAACGTATCGATTTTTAAAGAAGTAGCAGCTTTAGCAATATAATATCTTTTGATCCATAGACATTGGATTTCTTTCTACTTATTTATATTTTCTTTAATTTTTAAACAGCTCTGTGGCTTTTAGTACGCACGTCCTACATTTCTTTCATTAAATGTACTTATAAGTGTATTTTTACTAGAGTAAATGAAATTTTTATTACTTTATTTTTGGATTTTCCATTACCAATAAACTTAAAAACATTTGTTACATATTGATTTTGAAACATTGCTCAACTCATTTATCACTTTCAGTGGGTTCCTTAAGATTTTTCCATATACAGTATCAAGGCATCTGCATAGATTTATGTCTTCAGTATGGATGCTTTTTTCCTAATTGCTCTGGTTAAACGTCTAGCATGATACTGATTAGAAGTTGAAAGAGTAGGCATTTTATCTTGTTCTATTCTTAGAGTGAAAAATTCAGTCCCTTAACCATTAAGTATTACATTAGTTATAGATTTTTCATAATGACTTTTATTAGGCTGAGGAAATGTTCTTCTATTCCTAGTTTGCTGAATGGTTTACATCATGAAAGTATGCTAGATTTTGCCAATTCTTTTGTGTGTGTGTCTATTAAGATGTCTATGATATTTTTAGTTATTATGATATTCATATGGTATAGAATATTGCTTTTCCGATGTAAAACCAAGCTTAGATTCCTAGAATAAATCTCAGGAGTCGAGGAAATGATCTCTTCATTATGTCCTCTTGAGACAGGGTCTTACTATGTAGCCAGGCTGGCTTAAAACTCATAATCCTCCTTTCTCAGCCACCTGGGCACTGGGGCTGTAGGTGGGTACTATCATGCCCAGGTATAAATCCCACTTGTTATGATGCATAACCCTCTTTATGCATTGTTGGATGTCACCTGATCATAGTATTTTGTTGACAATTAACTTGTAGTTGATCACATTCTCCTAACACTTTGATTGTGAGTAAGGGATGATGTATGCAGATCCACTCTATGCAGGAGGCTTCACTGACTCAGCTTGTCTATGTAATCTTGATATGCATGACTTATATTTTGCAAAAGTGTGTGTTTAACTCATGCTACAAGAAAGCAGAGTGTACAATGTGTCGTTTTAGCTAGCAAAACTTGCTGAAATAAACCTTCAAATCCCTAAATGAACTCACTCTATATCTATAATGTCAGAGTGGCATATCTCATCATTTAATGTCTGGTCTTCTTGAGATCTAGTTTCAGCATAGAGGCTTGTTAGCACACAGACACACAGACAGCCACCACCTGTTCACACACACATACACACACACACACATACACACACACACACACCACTGTTGCTGCCACCACCAATTTGAAACAAAGAATAATTGAAAAGAATTAAGTATTTAGTAGATTATCAACTAGGATTCAATTTAAATCCCATGAAAGAACTTGAAATCTTTACTGTCTTCAATTTCTCCTTCTCTGTCTCTTAGAGGAAGCCATATTTAAAGACCTTTTTTTTTTTTCATCCCCTGGTCTTACATATTCATTTGTGACTTTTTAGCAGAGAAGTTGAATATTTGTACCTACAGGCCAAATCTGACCTCTGTATACATTTGATACAAAATAAGTTTAATTAAATACTGACATTTATAGGTTTGCAAATGATAAACATCTGCGTCAGATAAAGACTTGAAGTGCTGGCAGAACGTTGCTGTCATCTTACAGCTGCCTCACAATGAAGAGCTGACTTCCTTCTTCAGCTGTGACACATCCCTTTAGTTCTTCCTAGTCTTCACCACTCCCTGCTGTGTTAGAAATGGCCAGGTTTACTACTGATAACTACACAGGGCTTCTGTTGGTATCTGGGTTCATGTTCTCACTGTTGTCCTTACAAGTCTTTTTCAGATACCTTCTAAAAGTTTAAACTTTCTTCTGTTATATTGAGTGGCAGAACAAGTGTTCTGGGGACTCACCAGTAAACCTTTTGAGAACGGAGAAGCCAGACATGGGCCATAGCAATTTGCACACTATGAACAATAAAATGCCCACAAATAGTTAGAAATGTGGGAAATTCACTCAACTGGGTATGGCAACTTTGTCCTTGTAAGACCTCTTATTGGTACTGGAAGTGCAGTTCTGAGAGAGGCAAGAAAGTAGAGTCCATTTATATGGATGGTTGTAGGAAAAAATAAGAGGCTGGCATCACTGATTTTATGGAAGATATGGAGGAAATGAGAGAAGACAGCACAGTGAAGAGACACAAAAGCAGGGCTACAAAGTCTGTGACAGCATATAACAGCATATGTACCTCTAAGGGTGAGCTGAGAGACAGCTACTGCCTTCCCAGGAAAATGTCTCCTGCAGGGTTGTACAAATGCGCCACTGAGCAGCTGCAAATCCTTTTCACTTCAGTTTGTTTTTTTGCTCTTCAGCTCTTCTTTGTATTTCTCAAGGGCCTCAATTATCTTAGAGATACTGAGGCTACTTTGAAATAATTTAGTATTTGATACAATTAATTTCCTTCCTACACTCAAGTATGTCATTTTCCCTTCAACATGTGTCTATTTAATTAATTAGTCAACCTGGAAAACCAAGTCATATGAATTAAAAGCTACATTAGCAATATATATCCATACTTGGATTTGCAGACTACAGCTTAGCAGTCCTCTGCCCAGTGAAAGCAACAGGTGATTGCAGAACTAAAATAAAGACTGATTTTCTTGGTAGGATTACACCAATTATTGTACAATTAACATTTATTTCTTCTTCACTAGTTATTTTTATGAAGTAACTGATCTACTTTGTAGTAGGTATTGAATATTTTTTTATTGATTTCTACCTTAATTACTTTTCTATTGCTGTGACTAAAACAACAATGACAACACAACCAGGGCAACTTAAAAAGAAAGCATTTAATTTGGAGCTCATGGTTCCAGAGGGATAGAGTCCACGACCATCATATTGGGGAGAACGGCAGCAGGCAGGCATGGTGCTAGTATAGCAGCAGAGAGTGTATTAGATCTTGATCCATAAGCATGGAGCAGAGAGCAATTGAGAATGGCTTTGGAAACCTCAAAATCACCCTCAGTGATACACCTCTGCCAAGTCCATACATCATAATCCTTCTTGAACAGTTCCATCAAATAGGGACTAAGTGTTCAAATATGAGTAGCTGGGGGTCATTCTCATTGATACCACCTCAGTTACATTTATTATGTCAGTTTATGTTAAAGTAGACTGGCAAATTATACCTCTCTGAAGCCACTATGAAAATGGTGGCTAGTGAAATTCATCAAAACAATTCAATTTTACTATTTGTTACCTTGTTCCTACTACACATACGAGAACTTTTAAAAGGTAGAGTACAGCTGGGAGATGACTTAGTTGGTACAGTGCCCCCCTGCTTTCCCCGAAGTGTGAGCATCTGAGTTGGATCTCCATTATCCACAAAACACAGAAAGCCCAGCAGCCCATGTGTGCAATCCCAAAGCGGGAAGGCAGAAACAGGCAAATCCTTGGGGCTCCTTGGCTAGCCCATTGAAGCCTAATCCATGAGCTCCAGCTTCAGTGAGATGCTGTCAAACAGTAAATCAATAAATAAAAATGTTAAAAAGATGGAGAGGGAGGAATGTAGTGTTGACACAAGGAAACGGCTCTCACCTAAAAGGTGAACTGAATATGAGTGAGCTCAAGTTTTACAATACAAAAATAGAAAATCAAATACTGGTGGAAACATTGGGTGGAAAATCTCTGCTGCAGGCCCCAGATGTGATAACATTTTTAGCTTCTGGGCTGGTGGAAGCTAGTGCCCTACTAAGTTATTACATTCTAAAGGTCATCTGATATTTATATTAGGATGCTGGCTACTCAGGCACACAGGTGGGCTAGAACAGGCTATCAATTAAAAGGGCTAAAGGCAACTCAAGATAAATTATAATTAAGCTCTGGACTTGCAACATTATAATTTCTCCCCAATCACTCAAGCTCTAATCAGTTAATCACTCTTGCAGGACGTTTCGACTTCCTTCCAGGAATCTCATTCGTCACACCCAAAGTCCACCTCAGGCTTACACCGGCAAACACATGTGATGTCCGCAGTATGTCCACACACACAGTATTAAAACAACAGATTCCTTTTTCCCCATCTTTAACATAAATTTGGCCCAGTCCTATTCCTACACAGTTATACATAAGAAGTTGCTGTTCTTATGGTTTTCCTATACTTTTAAAACTGGTTTCAAAGTCCTATTGGCTGTAAACACCCACTACAGTAAATGTGCGAATAAACAAGGCGTTCCTCCATCCCTCCTTCCCTGAGCCATGTGCCCTGATCCCTCTACCCAACTAGAAATGCCCAAGACTTGATGTGGAACCCGATTCCCTACTTGGGAACTTCCGGATAAAGGAGATTCCGGTCACTCACGGGAACGTAAAGACTTTCAGAATTACTCTACATTGTCTCTGACCGGTTACACCTCACCGGGAAGACGAACCTAGCCAAACTTTTAAACACAGGACTTGACTGCACAGCGACCCTAAGCAGCTGCTACTGCGCATGAGCCCAAACTGCCGCCTACTTTAAGCTTCAGGCTCCCAGACCTCTGTTCGAACTTCCCGGCCAGACCTAGACCACGCCCCCTCTCCCCCCCTCCCTCCTGACGCTCGCGGCGCGCTGACGTCACGGCGAGCCAGGGCCGTTGGGCGGCTGAGGCCCCGCCCCCGCCGCCCGGTGCGCGGCCCTGGCGGCTCGACCCCCCCCTCCCCACCCCCCATGAGGCTGTTCAGGCGGCCGCGGTCTCCGGCCCTGGTGCTGCTGTTCCTGCGGCCGCTGCTCGCTTCCGGAGACTTGGCGTCCAGCCCGCGGACCGGAGCCATGAACCCGGGCGGCGGCGCGCGGGGCTCCCCGGTGGACAGCCACCGCTTGCAGCGTTCCACCGTGCCAGGCTCCGACCCGCAGCGCAGCAACGAACTGCTCCTGCTGGCGCCCGGGGAGGGAGCCGCCCCGGAGACTAGGCACCATGTCCTCTACTTCCCCGGGGATGTGCAGGTAACGCGGGCCCGGCCTCCCCGACACGCCCACGCGGGTTCTCACCCGGGGTGGGGGGGCGCTCCAGTTACTGTCGGAGTCCCACCCGGGGAAGGGGCCCCGGAGGGTCACGGTCTCCGGAGGGCAGCTCAGTCCAGGTGCCACTGTGGGAAGGAGAGTCACGGCAGGGAATGGGACTGGCACGCACAGCTCCAGCCTAGTCTCAGTAGACTGTGTGTTGGTGCTGTGTAGAAAACGCTGACTAACTAAAGTGTGACCTTTTTGTAACCCTAAAACACGGTAGTGGAAGAAATGTCATTGCCAACAATGCTAGTGATATCGAGGCCCATTTGAATTCAGCACATCTGTTTTTTTTCCTTCCCGTGTTGCTGGTTTTATAGCTGCAGACAAATGTCCATGCTAGAGCTGTCCTGGAAGATGGCTTTTAATCCAAAACTGCATCGGTGTAATGAATACATTAGCCACATGAGGGTATCTGAATTAGTTAAAATGAAGACTCAGGGTTCACTTTCTCATTAGTTGCATCACCAAGTGTTGAGTCTCCACAGGTGACTGTGTATCATGTTGATAGCTCAGATACAGACAGCATTTCCGTAGAAAATCAGCCTTCCCAGTAAGTTCTGTTCCCTAGGGTAGACAGTAAGTTAGAACATAGCTAGATGTTTTCCCCATACTAGAAAACTATTACTGTTTTGAACTTGGTACTTGAAAATGATATACTTAAAGGTCATAGTGGTATTTAGTATCTTCTCTTGCTCTCGAAACCAATCAATTGACTTGACTAGTTGACTGCTAATGGAAAGTGCCTTTGTACTCAGAATGGAAAACAAACACGTTGCTTCTGACATGAACTTCAGAGATTTGTGACCAGCTACTTCATTCGTTCCAGTGATGGTGGTGATCATGGCGGCTGAGTACTTTCTGGTGGAAGTGTGCCAGACAGAACATCCACCTGTCTTGGAACAGGGCCTAAAGTGTTGCAGATGTAGTCTCAGTATCGTCTTTCATTTCACCATAATGCATCCCATTAGCTCTTTGGACAGTGGCGAAGCAGAGTGTGGAGTTTATAGAGGACCAGGTCTTCTGGAAAGAAAATGGAAGTGCATCCCAAGGCTTCAAGGCCAAATTGCCTAGATTTAACACTCCATTCTGTACTCTTTAGATTACAATCTGTGTAGATGTTGCTTCTCTATTGAAGTACCTCGGTTATAAAATTGGGTAATAGTTCAAAGGGCATCAATCAAGGTTAAATACTAGAATAACTCGGCGAGTACCACCCATCCTCACCTTCGGGTACTCTGGTGCTCCACTCTGAACTTTTTCTCTACTCTGCCAGTGCTCTCTTTCCATCTTGTGGCTTTACCTATCCCCTGACAAGCCTTGGCATTTATTTAGTTTAGACATAAGCCAGTTGTTATTGATTCACCAACTGCATACCAGTTACTTCCTTTGGATATTTAGTAGCCATCTAAAACTGAAAATCTCTTCACTCCTAAGCAGTCTTCCTCATCCAAGTTAATGAAAATACCTACTCATTTTAGAAATCTGAAGTCAAGCTGGGCTGTGATGGTGCACGCCTTTAATCCCAGCACTGGGGAAGCAGAGGCAGGTGGATCTCTGTGAGTTCAAGGTCAGCCTGGTCTACAGAGTGAGTTCTGTCATCCTATGGATGGATTTCATACCTCATCTCTAATTCAGCAACAAATGCAGCACCTCCACCCTCTTAGTATATCTACAATGGTGAGGACAGTGGCTTAAAGGTGAAGGTCTCGTCACACCACTCCTTTCAAACCCTCCATATGGCTTCTGTGTTTCTCAATAGTAAGACCCATTGTCCTGGGATCCATGGTTGCAGATGTCATGAGATCTTGCTTTCAGGAAGGATAAATGACCATGAGGATATGTCTTGATCTTGTTCTCTGGTCTTCTGGCACTTTCTCAGGCAGTTCGCTTCAGCTGGCCCCTTGCTTGCTCACTGTGTACTTGGGTTGTATACTTTATGTTCTGTGAAGATGGTCCCCGGGTGCATTTTTAGAGTTACCGTTCCCCAATGTAGCTCTCCTCAGTTGGTTGAGAAGGCAGTCCATCTGCTTTAAATCCTTATCATGAGTATTTGTAAACTCTTACAAACAGGAAGTTTTGTGAAAAGATTCTTTGGACCCCCACCTCAGTGTAATGTGGGATGGACCTCTAAGTTCCTGCAGGTCAGGAAGCACTTAACTGCGCTAAGCATCCTAGGTTCTGCCTCACTGGGGAAGAGAAGCATAGCCTCCAGTCCTTACTTCCTAAAAGCATAGCAAGTGCATTATATCTCCAGCAAGACAAAAATCCTTCTCAGTAGGTTAACTATAGTTAATTGCCTGGTTGTAGAATCAAATTAACTGGGGGCATCTGGTCCTGTCTCTGCATGTGGAAGTACTTACCCTGGTTCTTGGATCTGGGCTTTGATGTAACAGTAACATTCCCAGTTTTCATTTTGCTGCTCAGTTCCTCCGTATTAACATTTTCTCCCTTTTTAATCATGTAAACTGGAGCTAATGGGGGCAATTATGTTTAGATTTATAGCACCTTCTATGAGGTATAGCTTACACTGAAATTCATAAAATCAGCTTCACTCGGGTTCATTAAATAATTAATGTAGGTAATTGTATAGTTTCAGGACTTGGGGTTCTCAATTATAAAAAGCTTGCTTATTTATTTGTTGTTTCTCGATGGTTTCACTATGTGTAGCCCCGATTGCTCTTGAATTCTGGATCCTCTTGGGTTCAGCCTCCTAAGTGCTAAGAATACAGGCATGTGCCACCACACCTAGCTTATAAAAATGCATTAAATAGGAGGCAGGAAAAGTAGTTAAGTGTCTTTCTCAGCTACATAATGAGTTCAAGGCCAGCCTAGACTACATAAGACCTTGTCTCCAAAAAAAAAAAAAAAAAAAAAAAAATCCAGCAAGGAGGCTTTGTAGGTGAAGGTGACTCTTGTCACGGTGGACAACCGGAGGTCAGTTCCTAAGGAGGAGAGAAACACTCCTGCAGGTTGTTCTCTGACCTCCACACATGCTGGCACACATACAAAAACAATGTTTAAACATAATAACAAAAGGTAATGGATAAGCCCTTCCAGATCTAAGCTGCTTATTTTATGACAGTTTTTATATAATACACCTGGATGTGCAGAAGGTAATGGCAAAATCCATAAAAAGTCAACTTAAGATCCTCTTGGAACATACTATATGGCAAACTATTGATGAAATAGTAATATTAATGAAACGAATGAAATAGAAATATTAGGGAATTGAATGTTACAGTGAGAAAATTGTCAAAGGACACATACATAGTTAACAGAACTAAAAAAAATTGCCAGCAGACAGAAAAATGTTTAACCTAATTTGAAATCGAATGTGCAAATTAAATCAAGAGCATTGCATAATCTTCTATCCGGATTTTCAAAAAAATTAACCGTTAACATTGAAGCTAAGTAAGAGTGTGGAAAACAGTGCAATCTTGTACATTTCTAGTGCAGGTTTTACTGCTATTTCCAGTGGTATTTTACTGGTGCCTAAAAGCTATTATGCAAATCTGTATTGATGCAGAATCATGACTTTTAGCATATTTTTTAAGGGACTGTTACATCTAAGCTTCTGGTTGCTTGGTAGAGAGGAAGAGTATTTTCTTATTACATAATTACATATTTGGATATGTACTAGAGAACACTGAACTGCTAGCCACCTAAATTGAACAAAATTTCAGTGTCATCCTAACTGTGATACATCTAAATTTGAGCTATCTATACCTATGAAATTGAACAAATTAAGAAGAAAACCATGGAAGGCAATTTTGTAGTCTCTGTCACCAACTTTAAATTATGATTATTTAAAAATTATGATTATTCCTAGAGTTTTGTACCTCTAGGAATTTTAGAATGTAGTGACAGATGTATACTAAGATTTTCTGTGCTGTCCTTGCTGCTTAGTAGCAAAAAACCAAACCAAACAAAACCCTGAAGTCAGGCATAGCAGTCAGGTTGCTAGTAGAATCTCCATGCCTATGATAGATTTCATTATAGATATGCAGGACAGCAGTTCATTGAAAAGGAAGTATTTTGAAATTATGTCTTGATCAAAAGATTATAATAAATCAAATTTGTATTTTCAGTTGAATTAGGGAACTTCATTACATGTGTACTAAATCAAAATTATAAGTTTGTGAAACTAAAATTTGTCTTTCTGTTACTCAGAAATTCTTAATACTTAGTGTAAGTAAATTTTATTACCCTGTCTCATAATGAAGATTAAGCTGAGTGAAGTGTTACATTCAAAATTATAGCCAGAAAGTGTAACAGTTTTTAGATTTTATTTTGAGTACATTAACCATAGGCCATCAAAACTTCCTCAATAACAATGTAAAGCTTTTTATAGCTAAATCCACTTTTAATGCCTGTTTCATCTTTCTTTTCAGAATTACCATGAAGTTATGACTCGTCATCCTGAGAATTACCAATGGGAAAATTGGAGTCTAGAAAATATTGCCACCATCTTAGCCCACCGTTTTCCTAATAGTTACATTTGGGTGATAAAGTGTTCCCGAATGCATTTGCACAAATTCAGCTGCTATGACAATTTTGTGAAAAGCAACATGTTTGGTGCACCAGAACACACTCCAGACTTTGGGGCCTTTAAGCACTTGTATATGTTATTAGTTAATGCTTTCACCTTAACTCAGAATGGTTTGCTGTCCAAGAACAGGAGTGTTTGGAATAAGGATTGCAAAGTGTCTAACTGTGAGTCTAACTCTTCTACTGCTAGTAATGGTGGCCAAGAGGAAAAAGAGAGGACCTGTGAAAATGGGGATGAGTCTGCTGCGAGTTTTGCTCCATTATCATTGAATGATGCATCATTTACTTTGATTGGATTCAGTAAAGGCTGTGTTGTTTTGAACCAGTTGCTGTTTGAGTTGAAAGAAGCCAAGAAAGACAAGGACATAGACACTTTCATCAAAAGTATAAGAACGATGTATTGGCTGGATGGTGGTCATTCTGGAGGAAGCAATACTTGGGTCACATATCCAGAAGTCTTGAAAGAATTTGCTCAAACAGGGATCAGTGTTCACACTCATGTAACACCTTACCAAGTACACGATCCAATGAGATCCTGGATTGGAAAGGAGCACAAGAAGTTTGTTCAGATACTTGGGGACTTGGGTATGCAGGTGACTAGTCAAATTCATTTTGCAAAGGAAACTCCCTCCATAGAGAATCATTTCAGGGTTCATGAAGTGTTCTGAGACTTAATTGCTTTCTTAGTGGGAGAACCAAGTACTTTGTTATAAACACAGAAGATGAGATATAAGAGTAATTAGATGCATTGTCACTCTGTGGGCTAAGATGCACATTCCAGAAATATGAGTGTCATATATGGTTGGATTCCTTGCATGTAAATGTGGGCATCTTTAAATTTTGATTGGATTAGAATTAATTTGGAGTCTAGAAAAGTATTTTGTGATAATTCTATGTCCTTTAAAAATGAACGAAACTTGGGTGTTAGTCTTTTTAAAAGGTAACATAATTGGTATTGGAAATAGCTAATTTTCTGAAACCTGTTTTAAACTAACATTGATAAAAACTGCTGATTTAGCTGCTGACTACAGACACTTCTTTCTGTCCCAAGGTTTGGGGGGGAGGCTCTTGCACCCAGCATCCTGCCTCCTGGAGAAGTTTTGTGAACCCTTGGACTCATTCTCAGTGTTCCACCAAGTGTTTGTTTTGTTTTGTTTTTTAAAGTCAAAATATATTTATTCCCTCATATCCAAGATCATAGAATTGTATAGTTGGTTTTTAAAAACATATTACAGTAAGCGCTGTAATGTAATTGACAGGTTTTAATTATCTGTTAGTGTGCTCTCAACAGGAGACAGATTCCACGGACCTAAATCAGCGTTTCTTCAGAAGCATGGTTTTGTCTGCCAAGAGAAAATAGCTTTCTTTGGCCAAATGTAAAATTACATTGAGATAAGAAAGGTTACAAAGGAAAGTTTGAAGACACAAATAATTTAAATTTTGGCCCAGAAACTGAATTTGCTTAACACTGCTACATAATTTGGGTGAAGTTTCCTTCTGCCCATTTTTCTTTACTAGATAAATGCATTTTGAAGCAGCAAAATCTAACGCATTTCAAACAATATTGGAACAAAGCTGCATGGTTATAAAAAGTAGCACTTCTTACAAATAAATAAATAAAGCATTATAGGTCATGGAATAACCAAACAGTGAATAACATGCTACTTTGGGATTGAAAAGAAAATGTATACTAAAGATTAGTATCTTAACATACGCAAAGTGTTTACTTGGTTTCTTCCAAAATTACATTATTGCGAATTTCCTTAACTTTAAGCACTGTGATTGGGTGGCTACATTAAATTTGTTTAATAATAGTCAAATGTATCACATAATGTAAAATAGCTGAATTCCTGAATGGTCATACTAAGGGAAGGCTTTAGTTTTCACAGCATTAACTGAAGTGAAAAGGGTATTTTAAGAATTCATTTTAAAAGTCCGAGTTAGTTCTTCACCTTTCCACTCATGTGAATTTTCAGTTGTTAGAAGTTAAAGTGATGTTGCTCCAAGGGACACCTAGAACTGTTACTGCCTCTGGAGGTAGTGTTGAGTAGAACAGATACTTTGGAGTAGAAATGACTGTTAATCCACACACAGGTATTTCTGTATAATACTACAAATTCCACATTTGTTTAAAACTGTATATGTTAAATTTGTTGTTGTAAATGCTTGTCCTACTTGATTGTGCCTTTGTAAAGAGACACAGAGAAGTGGTTCTACAAATGTGAACATGGTTACCACCACAGCATGAATGTCTAATTGTATTAAAATCATAATCCCCAGGAATGTTATTTGGATGTTTATCTGTGCACTTAGCCCATTGGAAAGGAAACTGTTCACCTTGTCGTTTTGTGTCTGCTTTTGCTTCCCGGTCTTTCAAGTGAACAACTTTCCTTTTCATGGAGTTCACCTCTTAATTATTCCATAACTGTTGGCATTATACTCAGTTCTTCTGTTGTGCTCCTAGAGGAAGTTCTTCAAAACCTCTCCCTTTTCTTTGCTGATTGTCTTAGTTGTCTGGACTATTTTGTCCCCATAAAAGACTATTGGAATCTAGTGTGATTCATTTCATTTCTTCAGTGTCCAAGAACCCACCTAGTGTAAGGAGACGCTAAGCCCCAAGGATCTAACATCAAGTCCCAGCATGTTGGTGGAGAAACAACAGTGTAGACCTTAAGCAGGAACATCTGAAACAAAGTATTGTATTGCATCTGAAGGCTTTCCTTCTAGAGAAACATGAATTAAGGAATAGTGGTCTCATCTATGACTTGCAATGCTTTAACTGAAGTGGCCTCAGAATTGTGAGTCAGTCGTGGACACAGGCCCTCGAGTAATTTTAGTGTCTCCTGGTATGTTTAAGACACTCATTGATGACTTCTACATTTGAAGCAAGGTCAACACCAGAGTGGCAGTCTGTCAGTTCCTCCTGAAACACTGGAGAAAGGAGTCAGGTTGGCACAGTCCCAAATTCTATCACCAACTGCCTTTCACCTCCGTGAATGACCTATCCTATTCCACAACTCATAAAATTTAACTTCAATTTTTTTTTTAGGTATGAGATATGCTTTGTTATTGGGTTCTTTGCAAATGTTCACATAGCTGTTACAAAAGGATAAATTCAGCCCTGTTGACTATCTCTTGGTATTTCATACATTTCAAAATTATGAAATTAAGAACTCTCAATGTCATATGTAAAGAAAAATATTGCGTCATGAAAAGCTAATAAGTTTTAAAATGTGTTTTTGAACATAATGTACAAAACCACAGATGTCTCCTGGAACTACTCAGCCTCATCTCAGCAATTGCTGTCACTGGTTGGTTGTGTACCTAGCAGAGCTAATTCTGTCTATGTAAACGTTTGCACAGAGCACGCATTGTACAAATGGCAACAGAGTTATAAGGTTTGTGTGTAATTAAACTGGACCAATTCCATCCAGCTCACAACTGCCAGACTCCTTGGTTGCATATTTTGTAACATGTTCTGTCATCTTCCCATTGCTTGTTAGTTTTCATTTGTGTCTGTACATAGTAAGCTGTACAGCAAGTTTTGTTGGGAGGGAACTAGTATGTTAAGCCACGAATCAGCTGGAAGAAGGAGGTAGGACTAAGATGGTTTCTATCACTATAATCTGTTTCTGTAGCAACTCAACCAGAACCATCTATACAATCCAGGGTGATTATATTTCTAACATTCATTCACTCAACAAAAAAATTTAAATCCAACGAATTAGTTAAATGTATATGTTATTCATTTGGCCTTAAATGAAAAGGCTAAAATATTTTTATTTAAAAAAAATCAGGATTATCTTAAAACTTTTCAAAGGATCCATCACAGTGCTGCAAATATACTTCAAGAGGAGTTAACAAGTCTTAGAAGAAATAGAGCGACTAGCACCAGTCATTATGTGCTAGTCCTCCTGGCTCTGTGGTGTGTGTTTGAATCTATCAGTTACACTTTCAAGATGAAAAGAGTAACCATAAATCCTCCAGTTTCCTTCTATGCTGCTGAACAAGAGTATTCTAGTCCTCCTGGTTCTGTGGTGTGTGTTTTAATCTATCAGTTATACTTTCAAGATGAAAAGAGTAAACATAAATCCTCCAGTTTCCTTCTATGCTGCTGAACAAGAGTATTCTATTAGGTCAATTTGGTTCTAGTTACAACTTTCCTACATAGCCCTCTCTTTTGGTGCTGGGATCTGAACCCAGTTACCCATGCTAGTGAGTGCCTCTACCAGTTTCTGGTTAGTTTATTCAAAGCTCTATATGATTCTGGTTAGTTTATTCAAAGCTAAGTAAATACTGTATGATCTAAGGGTTTACATCTTTCCTTTAAAGTCATTAAGTAAGTGCTTTGCTCAGGCTAAGAAGATAAAAAATCTGATAATTAGACCTGGCTAGCATATTAAAGCATTTTCCCCGATACACATTTAACCTTTGCTCACCTCAATAATTTGTTTATCTTCCAAAGATGTCTAAGTCATAATTTTTATATACTTTTCCTTTTTTGTTTAATGTCTGAAATTAATCCAATTCTTAAGCAGGGCATGAGTGAATGAGTTACCTTCAAGAGTAACTATTTCCTCTGTAATTAAAATGTATTGAATTGATGGACTCAGATTACTTTAGATAGGCACATGTTTAGTAAAGACAGTTGTTCTTGATGTCACTGAGTAATTTGGTACAAAAAATATAACGTGCGCGCACACACACACAGGGCTCACTGTCTTCAAAGATTTACATTATTGGGCTAATGTGGATAAATTCTAGAACTCATGATCTATCACATCATTAAATCTACTCATTTTTAGTCCTGGTAACTCAAAGCATCTGTAAGCTTTACTAAATATCTAAACCATCCTGTTCTCTCATACATTTCCTGTGCCTCAAGGAAGAGCAACCCACTCATGTTTAATTTTATATGTGATGACGACTGGCTCATTGATGGACAGGGCTAAGCCATTTCAGAGCATTAAGGCTAAGAATTTAGTAGAGGATTCTGGAAAGCGGCTTCATGTAAGACAAGAGCCTGTGGATTCCAGCCAGACAACTCCACTGCATACAAATGAAGACACACAAGGCCCCAGCTGCTACTGGCAATCATCCCATGACCACGAGGGTAGCTAGACCTAAGATAATACCAATCCTGTGTTCAAAGAGTGGGCTGGGGGTGGGGTGAACATTTTTGGTGGCGCTACTGAATCACTGCAAAGACCAAAGAAGGACATTCCACCACTAGACTTTACGTAGTGTGACTGAATACATTAAGTTATTTACATATTAAAGCTAAAGAATGGTTCCACTAAGCATTCTCAGTCTGTACTAAGTAGAAATCAGATATGTATCTCCTTTACACCATAAATCTGAGACTGATTTATCCTACTTTTAAAAAGTATCTTTAAATGTTTATATCTTGCGTACTTTTCAAACACTGGAACTGATTTTTATTTTTAAAATTTTACTACATTTAGTTCATGTTTTTACTCCAAGTTCTTGCTGTAGGCTTTGTCTTGAATGCGCAAGACCATTTGGCGTGCATAGAAGTCCCTGTATTCCTCTGGTAGTTCAGCCAGTGTTTTCAAAGCTCTGTCCAAGATTTGCACAGCTCTGGATGCTGCTACAGGGTCTTTGTTGCCATAGGTATCTGTTTTGTCATAGCATTCTGATGGAAGGTGCTTCCAAAAGACATTCACTCCCACTCCAAATTCCTCAGAAATTACATTATGGAACCATAAAGCTGTAGAAAGTTAAAAATAAAACCTACCGTTAAAAAACAAAACAAATGTCAGTGAAGTATCACGAATTGCATACAGCCAATGTAAGAAACAGGATTTGTAGCAAGCTCCTGTCGCTTCATACTCCCTGCTTTCCTCTCACTCATGAAGTGCCAGTCAGCTCAGAGTGTCAGCACAGGCCTGTTCTAAACGCCTTAGCAATTTTCATTTTTTCCCATCTAGCCTGAAAGACATCATAAAGTTGTATTTGCTCTGATTTGGGGCAGTCTTTTGAGCCCTGTGTTTACACTTCCTGGAGCACGCAACCACATCAGAACACGGACTGTTTTGCACACAGAACATTTTACTTATTTGAAGACTGCCTGGTCCTTTGTGATTCGATACAGTACTTGTTCTCAAAAACGTCCTGTTCCAAAGGCAATCTGGTTCCCTAACTTAAGCTAGCACACACTGTAGCCTCAGTCTTTAGTTTTTAGGTACTCAGATCTAGCCTCTTTTTTCTTCAGCCCCTTTACCATGATTATGAAATACTTTGACGGTGGTGGTGGTAAAAAAGAAACTTGATCAGATTATTTAGCTATATTTTTCATTTTCACTAGAAAGTTTACTGTTTACAACTAACATTTCAAAATCTAAGAGATATAAGAATATTAAAGAACAGCTCAGCATAACAGATGGATTGCTAATCATGCCAAAAGTGTTTAGTCTTATGAAAGGAGGGTTTAAATACATTCTAAGAGTGTTCATGGAAAAAATTATTTATAAAAGTAGTCTTCAATGTTTTGGTTTTAGTTATAAGGTCTTTCAGAATATTCACTTGTTAATATATCAGAAAAAGCTAACCATTCTGGTAATTAAACCTAATGATGGAAATCTTGTTTTGCATTAAAATATATGCAACTACTTAATTTTTGGGAAAGCTGAATACAGGTAAAACTACTAGTCATGTTCTAAAGACACAAAAAGCAAACTTTCATTTATACAATGGTAATAGATTTTAGATGAAGAAGCAGTTGCTGAAAAAGCACAGTACTAAGTCAGTGAGTCATGGTTAGATTAGCAAGAAAGTAGTTCCTTGTTCTCAAGGAATTTACTATCTAACTTCAAGTATATTTAGAGATGTTTCAAAAGCTAATTCTATCACTGAATAAAGGTGTCAATAGTTTATAAACTACATATTTATGAATTATAACAAACAGAATTAATTTAAGTAAAACTGGTCAATTAACTTCAATACTTATGATCTTTACAATCTTAGAGTATTATGTTAATTGCAGATAATAACTATATCACCATAGTTACTGATAACCTGGAAATTTTATGAGCATCCAAACTAATGCTTATTTATTGATCATAGGAGCTCTATATAGAAAAATTTTCAGATTATAATTTTTTGATATCTAATAAAAATCTATAATCTTCTTAGAAAATATGTACCATTTCTAAAATGCCTATATATTTTAGAAATAAAATGATTTCTACAAAAACACCAGGTACAACCTTTTCACAGATACAAGCAAAATAACTTAGCATACTATCTTAACAAATTATGGAGTTGCTTTTAAGACAGGAATACATTGAGAATACATCATTATGTGAATAACACAAATAGAATGGCCTACTACATCCCTAGACTATTGTTACCGCCTACTGTTACACCTGTACAGCAGTTTACTATCCTGAAGACAGTAGGCTGCTCTGACACAATGGTAAGCTCCTGCATATCTGGACACAAATAAATACAGAAAACATATTAGTGTGATCTAGAAACCTTACCAGGAATGAACAGAACATCACCAGCTTCAAGGGAACACTCATACCTCCTTGCCTTAGGGAAGAGTGGGTATTTATCCAGGTCAGGGTTGTCAATATCCAGCACTTCTGATTTAGAACCTAGAAAGTTCCCAAGAGAGACCATACAGATTGAACCAAGTTCACAGTTTTAAAAAAAGTAATCACAGCCAGGTAGTGGAAGCCAGCCTGGCCTGCGCATGCCTTTAATCTCAGCACTCAGGAGGCAAAGGCAGGCGGATCTCTGTAAGTTTGAGGCTGGCCTGGTCTACAGAGCGAGTTCCAGGACAGCCAGAGCAGTTTACATGGAGAAACCCTGTCTCAAAAAAAAAAAAAAAAAGAAAGAAAGAAAAAGAAAAAAATCATAAATATAAACTTGAAACTTAATTCTTTTCAATTACTGTATTCACACTGTGAAAACTAAGTATTCTTCTCAAACCTACAGTAATTTTCAAGGACCATTCTTTAAATATGATAACCAACATCCACTATCCATGTGTCCATGCAGTACAATAAAATAATCCGAAATTTTTGTTTGTTTGTTTTGAGACAGGATTTCTCTACATAGCCCTGGCTGTCCCGGAACTCACTCTGTAGACCAGACTAGCTTCAAACACAAGAGATCTGCCTTTGGAGTGCTGGGATTAAAGGTGAGCACCACCATACCTACCCTTGAAAACTCATTCTTTATACTGTGTATCATCATCACTATACATACACAATGGAAAATACAGTACATAATTTGGAAGAAATATCCTAAAATGTGGTCTTCCTATATTATTTAAAAATAATGGACTAAACTGTAGAAACATAAAATCATACCTGATAAATACAAATAGTGTGCATCTCGAGGACTGAAGAGTGTAACTCGCTTCTTTCCTGTCACTTGTATTAAAAAGTTATCCATTACCTAAAGATAATAAAATGTATGTGTAAGCAGTATCTAAAATTCAAGTCAATGGAACCAATGGCATTTTAAATAGTTAACTTCAAACCCTATTCTTTCCCTTTTTTGGGGGTGGGGGTGGGGTTCACAAGGCCTCCCTGTGTTGCTCAAACTGGCCTTCTAATGCTCCTGCTTCAGCTTCTGAGCAGCTGGGATCATGGGTATGTGTCACTATATGTTAATCTCTATTCCTTTTGTGTGATTTGACCCATATAAAACTCTCGCAGTCATAATTCAAATCTAACAATGAAAAGCTTGTACTACATATACAACAATGTCTTTATTGAAGACATTTCTTTCCATGTTTTTTAACATGGAAAGACCAACAAATTAGGAAAACAGAAAGGGGAATAACAGCCTAGGTGCACCTGATGCTGCCCTTAGTTAATGTTTGTCTTACTAAGTTGTCGAGGAATGCCCTAGGCCAAATAAAAAACACCAATGCAGCTACTGCTAAACACTGCATACACATCCACCCACAGCACGATTACTAAATCTGATTATGAGACTGTTTGTATAGGAGTACAATCAGGCAAATTCCCGACTACGCTTTTAAAGGAATCAGTGTTAACTTTCAGTGTGTACGCAAAGGGTACCCTCTCTTGGTACAGAGTGTGAAAACTGTTAAAAGGCAGAAAAGCACATGATTCAGTTAAAGAATTAAGACACACACTGAGTGAGATGTGTGCATGGCCATCATATATCAACCATCACTACTGACACATTTCTTCTTTTAGCACCAACCTTTACTTAGCAAACATTAACTCTAATTGTAACTACTGCTCCTCTGATTTACACTTTAAGACATGTATTACATATTCTATTGTAACTAGAGGTCAAAGGGAACTACTTAAAATTTAAAGCATAATCTGTAAAGTTAAAAACATAGGAAGCATATCACAATCATTCAAATAAAACTTTGAAAATATGCTAAGACTCCATGTCTATCTCATCTAATTATAGAGTTGCTGTGTTGAAATCCCCTGTAAATTTTAAAATGTACTAGAGGAACCATGTACATGGCATAGCAGTTTGGCATGCTGCCATATGCCTGAACTCCTGCCAGCTGGAGGCAGAGAAAGTAAGATCTAAGGTCAAGTCCAATTAGGGCTTCAAAACGCAAGTCCTATTTCAAAACAGCAAAAACCCTTGGAAATCTAACAGGTATTGCATAGTTTCTTGTTTCTCCAGCTGCCAACACCAAACTACACACAATACCATTTAAAATTTGCTTACATATAGGCAGCAAATAAAGCCAATGAGAACACAGAAGCAAGATCAAAGTCTATACATCCTGCTCATCTATGCATCAGGAAACATTTGGTGTTCTCAAGGCAACCATAATTTTTATTCATACAAGTCATTCCCCACAATCTCTTCCTTTCCCTGAAATTACAACTTGCATGTAACTGCCTCATTAAGACACTTCTATCACACTGTGTTTCCACACCTTTCCCCACTAAGCCATAACTCATTTCACATCTACAACTTACTGTGTTTGTGAGGATGAATTAGGAGCCAGACCACAGAGAGACACATAAAAACTAGGTTTTGCTATCAGCTGACTCCATATTACTACTGTCCTACAGATGGGTTACTCTCACAGCTCTGGGTTTCAGCCAATGATATTGCACAGATCTCTAGAGGAGCCTATAAAGTTCAATCTGTGAACATTAGACCCATAAGAGCAATAGATCTCTGAACCTTTACATTTCTTATATTGTAACATACATCATAGTGAGTCCAGAGTTGCAATCCAGGTGAACTAATTCGAAAAACACTGGAAAAGAACTGCTCCTCTTCAAAGAATGCTGGAAACTTAATATCTCCTCGTAATGATGGAAACTGCTGTCTGATATCTGCAACGTCCTGCATTGACAGACATATGAAAGTACTTAGATTAAAATAACACCTGGAAAGAATTTCAATAGTAAGCAACACTGGCATAACAATACTGCAAGGCACAACACGGTGAGTAGTAAGGATGAAAGAGGTGAGTGTCTGTTCAGTGTAGTAAGGATGAAAGAGGTAAGTGTCTGTTCAGTGCTTTACAGCCCAATGATGTGACCACCACCAACACCTCCCCCAGTGTTCTTAATCTGTGGGTCAGGACCCCTTTGGGGTCACATCAGATACTCGCATTACAGTTCCTAACAGTAGCAAAATTACAGTCATGAAGTAGTAACGAGATAATCTGACAGCTGAGGACCATCACAACGTGAACTGTTAGGGTCACAGCATCAGGACGGTTGAGAACCACTGCTCTAACAGACTAAAGTATCACTACTGTCAACTTTACTATACTGACTAACACAAAGGTTCTTATTTTCAGAAGATTCACATAATTCATATCTACTCTAGCCTTATTAATTTGGCTCTGAATATACATAAGGGCTCATCTAATAAGTCTTCAGTAATTTTATATAAGTATTTTATTAGCTGAACTGCCATGTAAAATATATAGCAATAGGGATTCTTACTGCAGGGAAATTAGATGACTCTAAGAGTCTATAGTTCTGAATAACTAAATAATCAACTTTTAAGATTCCGCATTCAGGGGCACAAACCATTAAAGAAACAGAAGAGGATGAAATGTGTTATGTATTCATCAATATAAATTTACAGTGATAATGTGAAAATGCTCACTGACATTTTAAGTAATTACTTTAAGTCCACAATTCTTACCTTCCTTGGGTCTTCTCCAAGTGACCGTAAGTAGTATTTCTCATCCTTAAACACCCCAAAGAAAAACAGCATCAGCAGTCATTAAAAAAATATAAGAAAAAAATGGAGTAAATATTAAAATGTGGCCTAGTTAAGTCTTCTAAAAATTTTAATTATCTCACCCTTTCTACTGATGCCCCCTGGTGGCCACAGACAGAAATGTCTTTCTATGTTGCTCATGACTGGATCCCATAAGGGAAACTCCAAAAGCACATTTACTTGATACTTCAATGTGCAGTTTTAGCATTTGATAGATCAAATGTGAGTCCAACAGCAAACTTCTTAGTACAACACTGAAATGAGAGAAATAAATAATCATGCCTACCCTCAACAACCTGCATTTTCACTCCAAATCCTTCGAGTCAGCTCATGCATGATTTAGAAATACATCATTTTATAAGAGCAAAATTACAGAAGTAGTTTTAAAAGTTGTCACTTGCACTTCTGACTGCCTGAGTAGCTAAAGAAGAGAACTGATGACAAAGCAGTCACTGCAGGGCTGGGGGTCACACTCTATTCCCTAGCTCCACAAACAACAAAACCACCACTGCTGGGTGCCTTTCCTTGAACAGAGAACTGAGTACAAGTCAATCCAACTCAAGAATTCTGCCTTCCAGAAACCAATACAGACTGCTGTAACATAAACTTTATATCTCATTTAACCTAAAAAAATTATGAATCTACACTCATAAATTAACAATTTAGCTGTTTTCATGTTTTTATATCAGAATGATTCTTTAAATCGGCTTCAAAGTATGCTCATCAAAATTTGAATTGTCATTCAGCAAAGAGGCACTGCTCAAATTCTTCATCAAGAAAGGGCTCTTTACTTTTTGCAAACAGTGCATTTAACTTGGGGCTGCAGCGGTACATTTTTCTTTAGGTTCTCAGTATTGGACCCATGGTTACATTCTTCATAAAGGGAAGACCCAAGCAATAAGCAAAGAAGATGGCAAGTGGTCTAGAAGCGGCAAGCTGCCGCCTGACGGGCAGTCTCTGCTCAGTGTTAGGGAACTGGTAGACCACCAGGTGAGTATAGCTGTGTCTGATGGCTATGCGAACACGCCAACTTTCCTTCCACAGGCATGGCTCCCTGAGGCTGCTTCCATCCCAGTCTCAGGTTCCCCTGTGACTTGGCTGAGAATCAATGTTAATCTGTCTGCATACAGGCCATAATTTTTCCATTTAACCCTTTGTTTTACTGCACATTTCATGGCTATTTAATCTATGCCACTCTTTAACTTTTAAAACCCCTAAGAGCAATGCATATACATCCAAAGAATGGCTATGATATTTAGGAACAACTAATGCGGATAGGTTAAGAGACATTCTCATCATGGTCAGATAGGTTAAGAGACATTCTCATCATGGTCAGGCTAGAAGTCAGCACTGTGTTGCTTCTCAGGATGGCTGTCTACCTTGTTTTCTGCGATATGCTCACCAATTTGGCTATGCTAGCTGACCAGTGAGTCCCAGAATCCTTCTGTCCTTGCCTTCCCAGCACTAGAATTACTGCAAGTATATGCCAGAATACCCAGAATTTTTACATATGTGTTGGTGATCAAACTCTCATGCTCATACTTGCTTTGGAACTGACACACCACTCCAATGCTAATATAATTAACTTGAAACTGTTATTTAATGGTAAGCTTTAATTAATGCCCTAATCAAGGTCTTTATACTGAATAACTCAGAGTCACACTATTCTGTAAGAATATTGCTTTCATCTTGAACAAATGTTACACAGATAAAAGAATTCTGATAATACAGAAATTTTAATGATATGAAAATAAAGTTTTCTATTAACATCTGAATTTGATGTATAACAGCAGAGTATTTTCAAAGGAAGAAAGATTCACGGTTAATACCTGATGAGCAGTTTCTGTGTCAGACAGGCAAACTGCAATTATAGATTATTTTATTTGTGTAATCCTCACAAAAACCTTAATAAATAAGTAGTTTTAACTTTCACATAGAAATAAGTACATTTAAGCAAAAATAATTTGGTCACGGGTTAAGAGCTAGTAAAGAGCAGAGCATAGCCTGTAGGTAGACTATCCAATCAAAGTTTAAGAAGGGCTAACAGGGATTAGAGCTCTTGTACACATGATAACTTTTAAGATCTTTTGAACAAAACAACCTAGTTGTCCTTCACAAGGAAGTCCATGTAGGGAGGTCTGGGAAGATGGCTCAGCTGATCAAGTGCCTGCTATGGAAACATGAGGATCCGAGTTCAATGCCAGCAGCCACATAAAGACAGCTGCATGAAGCAGTATGTACCTATAATCCCAGTACTGGGGACATAGACAGAAGATGCCCTGGAGCTTGTGGGTCAGCCAGCCTTTCAGGTTCAAAGAGATCTCTCCTCAAGAAAAAAAAAAGTATACTGGAGGAAGACACCCAGTGCCACTCTCTGACCTCCACACACATAAAATCCATTTAGTATATGGCCATAATGATTTTTTAAAATATTACCTCTGCAATAAAGAATTCTTTATGTGTTTCTTCGGCTGCTCTCTGGACCAACTTGTTAAACGGTAAAGTTCTGAAATGAACATAACAGAATCCTTAGACATAAAAATAACATACCAACTAGTAATGCCACCATGATGCATGTAGGCTTGGCACAGTTGAGTGCCATGTGTTGTGAAATACCCAGCTTTTAGTATAATCCATGTGGACAGAATTCTGAATATTCAAAATTCATTTAGCAGTATATAAATTTGACCTGTTACCTGAATTTTTAGACATAAAGATTTTTTTAAGTTTATGGTTCAGATGGCTCTTCAAGAGTCAACATCCTTCTTTCCAAGTTACTAAGAGAGATGTTTCCATGGTACCAGGATACTCTGACAATACACAGACTGGAGCTGAGGAGAGGGTTCAGTGCTTAAGAGCACTTGTTACTCTTGAGGACAATGTACGCTCAGGTCCCAGCTCCTACATGGTGGCTCACGACCATCCACAACTCCAGTTTCAGAGGACCTGATGCTTCTTCTGGCCTCCATGGGCACAAGACACACATGGAGTGCTCACATACACGCAGGCAACCCATTCACATAAAACCAAAGTAAAGTTAAAAAGTAAAATCCATGAATTTTGAGGTGCTGACTGCCACCTGTCTCTATGTGCCATGGCCAAATAAACCTGTGAATGAATGGGACAGCCACTAGTCTCGCACTAGTAATGAAGTGTAATGATTACTAGTGAAGACACACCAGCCCCTCCCTCCTGCTGCTTCATCACCTCAGCACAGGAGGCAGTAACGCTGTTCTCACCCTCCTGCTTTACCTGCCATGCTTTGGCTTCTGGAGAAATGGTCAGACATTTTAGAAATGATGTTTGTTTCCATTACACCATACTCCTCAAGTTACAGGGTTATCGTTTTGCTCCAGTTATGCTAGTATCTTCTAGAACCAAAAGCACTTCCTAGGTAAGTTCAGTGGCAGAGAGCTTCCTAGCTTTCATCACACCCTGGCTTTTAACCCTATCAATAGATAAATACATAAATAACAAAACCATTCCTCAATCACAAAGATGCTACCATGTCAGGACAAGACAAGGAAATCCTCACGAGTTTGTCCTCCACCGCCCGGCTGGAAATCTGTGAGTATGTGTAGGGACTGAAGGGAGAACTAACTCTCCTCAAGGAGCAGAAGGTCTTCTATTACAGTGCCGTTTCTCAGCACCAGCGCACAAAACAGTAAGTGAGATAGTATCAAAGAAGGCTTCTCGTGGATTCTGTGACAAGCAAATTTGAATATACACCCTGGGTTTTATCATTTTAAACTACATGACCTTAGAAAAATTGTTTAATATTTTAAATTTAAGTAAGAAATTATTATAAGCATTTGTGGGGGTGCTGGATTCATACCATGGCATGTATGTGGAGGTCAGTACCTCTACCATGTCTGTCCAGGGCACTAAACTCAGGTCAGAGTTATCCTCTGAGCCATCTAATGAGCCCCCCAGTTACTTTTTAAAAAATCTTCATTTTCTCATCATTATAATCAACATCTATTTTACAGGTTATCTTACAGTTTAAATGGGAAATATAAGCTAGTGTTGGCACAGCACCTAAGACATTGAGACAAAAGTAGCAATGTACCTTTTATGTAAATTTTATGCAGGCACCATAAAAAACAAACAGTAACAACAACCCCCTCAATTTATCCCCCATTCTGTTTTTGGAATGGCTGCTTTACGAGAGCAACACCAGGTTTGATGGGACTGTAAAGGAGGAGAAGGACAGACTTAGGTGATGTGGTAAGTGGAAGGCTCCAGAGCTACGCTTCGGCTCACACGGGGCTTCTGCTCAGAGAACCCTGGCTGGGAAGGATCAGCAGCAGCAAACAAGAGGAATGGACACGCTACAGCTTGGTGAGACATGACGTGAGAAAGGGTCAAAGCAACTCAAACTGAAGTGATATATCAATGCATATTATATGCCTACAGGGTTTCTGATGTCTTAATATCTCTACATTAAATTCCTTCTTTCCGACTGCTTAGGAAATGCTAAAAAAAAAAAACCCTAAATCTACTTTTTTCCTTGCACATGTTCTAGTGAAAGGCTTTGAACAAGCTGGAATAGAAACTATTATATAATATATATGTTTTAAAAGCAAGTTTTGAAAAGTTTAAAAAACATGAAAAAACACCAAAACAACTCAAGATGACGTTTCAGTACACACTTCTTATGTCATTAGATTCTGGTAAATAAATAATATTAACCACAGGCTAAAAACCACTCATCCCTCCAGCACTTTCTTCCACTTCTTTGACTAAACAAAAAGTGCAAAGTTCTTAGATTTGGAAAACTTACGGCAATTAAGTTCAATCCGTGGCCCGTGAAGTGACAGCTCAGTCGGAAACTGAGAAGTGCTTTGGCACTCACTACATGAGCTTGGAGAGCACCACGAGAGAGAAATGGCCCTGGCACCAGAAACCCTGCCTAGCTCATCTCTGAACTAAAATCTGTGACTAACAGGGCCTTTCAATAGATCGAACCTGCTGGGAACTGTACATGCCCAGAATGCGAATGTTGTTTTGTTTTTTAGTCTAACATTTGAATGACTCTCATGGGAATAAATAGCACATGAAATCTGCTTTCAAACGTAGACGCTCAGCCCCTGATTTACCTGCCAGAGATCGAACAGTAGCATAGGACAAGCATGGAAGAAACTCAGCGTGGGTTTTAAACGCTGCAAAACAGAAGTCAGTGTGTATCAAATGCAGGCTGCCCTGTGCTTCTTGAGAGGTGGAAAGAAAGGTCAGTCTTTACGACAACTTCCTATACTGGGTAATGGCAGCAGAATGGGTCAGTAAAGACTAAACGGGGATAGCACACCATTTCAAAGGCGACCTAACTCCAAGAATAGTAATTCTTTTCCATGACTCCACAGGATGCAGGGTGCACCCTATATTTAAAAACTAAAACTGGCAATGTCTCTGTACAATCACAAACTCAGAATTCTTGCCTTTTAAGCCATGCATTAAAAAGCAGTAAGCTAGCCCGTGATTACATTAACTAGACTATAGATGAGATGTAGTATGGTCGACCTTATAAAATGATGTAGAAATCTTTTTGAAGGTTTGACAAGTTCTGTGTCCCCAGAGTAACCTCAGAAGAAAATACCTATACACAAAGTTCTTACTGATGAAGTCCATCTGTGGGACTGCAGCCACATGAATCTTCACTTCTCTCGTCCCTCCAGCTTGGCTCAGGTAAGCCACTGTCCACTTGCTTGTACAAGACCCCAAGTCGAGTCCTTCCAACACCAAAGGTTTTCTCTGTAACGAAGGTGAAAAACGTAAAGACGACATTCCATCAGGAGCTGCATTGGGATCAGAGTGTGGCTTTGAGCTGAGCCTAAGATGCTCAGACTTAAAGCATCCAACAGTTTGTGCCATTACTAAAACATGCAGATTACCTACATTATACATCCAGAACAAACCTACGATTAGGAAAACAAAACGGCCTCGTCAACAGATAAAAGAAATTCAAATATTCAGGTATTTTCATGTTATTTATGGCAAAAAAATAAAATTAACTTTTACTTCATTTTCATAACTTTTAATTTTGTTAACACTTTAAGCTTTCTAAAAAGTGCAAGAACATAAGAATTTCCACCTGCTCTCCTCTTGACTCACCTACTTCTCAATATGGAGTCCCATTTGTGCTATTGCTACTCCCACACTCAGTGTGTAGAGACAGATATACTATTAAACCTAATTTTTCTGAACCATTTCAAAGTTGTTAACATGTCCTCATCTCTAAAACTGAAGCATATTTTCTGAAAACAAGGCTATTCTCTTGCACAGCAATTATCAAAGTTGTATCTCACACTGACATATTATTATGTAACCCACTATGCACATTCAAGTTTCACTAATTATGCCAATAATTTCCTTTAGAGTTCTTTCCCTGACCCAGAATTCAAGCTGAGATGCCACTATGGTTCAGTGATCACATCTCTTTCCATCTGGAATGGTTCATCAGCTTTCTTTGTTTTTCATGACCTTAATATTTTTGAGCACATAAGCCAATTATTTTGTTGAATTCCCTTGGATTTGGGTTTATCTTGTTTCTTCATGATCAGATTTTAGGTTATGCAATTTGAGTAAGGAATGTTCCACACAAGGAATGGAATAGTCCTCCCAGGGCACATCAAATAGTACATGATATCATGCCCTAAAATTTACCTAATTTCTCTGCCTCCACATTTCCTGATATAATTTTAATGCTCAAATCATCAGAGTTGACCAGTGGATCTCTTTGGGCTGGTTCCTGTGACTTTCAAAACTAAACATTTCCTTATTTTATAACAAAATAAACAATTCAGTTATCTTTTTCATTTTCCCTGCCTAGTCCTGCAATCCATCATTTCTTTAAGAAACTCTCATTTAAATGGGAACTTTTCTCTTGGCATTTTAATTATGTATCTAATGTATTTTTATTATATTCCTCTTTTATTATATTCTTTTAGTGCTGTATCATAGCTTCTGTCTTCTAAATGGTGAGCTGAGAAACATGTAAGGGCATCTATATAACCCCCCAAATACACAAATCTAGACATGCAATTATGTAGCTGTCCAAAAACTCACTCTATAGACCAGGCTGGCCCCAAACTAGGAGATCCACCTGTCTCTGCCTCCAAGTGCTGGGATTAAAGGTGTGCACTACCACTGCCTGTATTTTCTTTGATTTGAAGTACCCTCAAACACACATTTGCATTTTCCTTCCAAAAACAAAAAAGACTATGTATTTTCTTTTTTAAAGTTTAAGCCATATACTTTGAAAATTATTACTATCAATTCCCACATTATTCTTTTTATACCTTAGTGTATCAAAGAAGTGTGTCAAAGAATAAATGAGCAATAATTTACCTAATTTCCTTCCCATGCTTACTTCTAATAATTAATTGTGCAATAGACTTTTGTAGGTATTATCATATCTTAGAGAAATATCTGCAAAGTAAAATTCCTAAATGAGAAATTATTTACTTAAAATTAAACTTGGTGGAACACTACATACAAAGACATGAAGTAGGAGAGAGAAGGGTTGCAACAGGACAGGAGTGAAAAATGTGCAAAATTCATTGTGTCATGTATGAAGCTGTCAAAGAATAAAGAACAATAAATTGTAAAAAATGCTGGGTAATAAAGTAAACATGTAGTTTGTGAGCTGTTCCATTAGTTGAATCACTTGGTATAAATCACTTGGCTGCTATTTCAACACACCCACACCAGGGTAAATCATCAAAGTGTCCTAATCTTAGGCAATATGTGGTAAGAATTGGTGTGAGCAGGAGTGAGCAACCAGCCTGGTTCACAGACATAAGCCGTGGTGAAAACTGCTGTGTTTCTCTGTTGGTTGTTTTGTTCTGCCTCCACCAGACTACTGTAATTGAGGCCAGGCAGAAAGACGGGAGAATGAAGGACACGGGAAAGGATGTGGGACCCTCACCCTGCAGTCTCAAGTCTCTCAGCAGCTGAGAGATAAGAGTTCAGCACAACTAGACCGGCTTGGTGGTGCACAACTTTAGTCCTCGCACTGAGAAGGCAGAGAGAGACAGGTGGAGCTCTCTGAGTTCCAGGCCACCCAGGGCTACCCAGAGAAACTTCCTAAAACCTCCCTCCCCCCAAAATTCCAGTACAATTAACAAAATTTGCTGGGAGGTTGCCTACATGGAGGCAATATTCCTTTTTATAAGAAAATATTTCAAATAAAAACATTATGGCGACAAATCATGTCTAAAGCCAAAGCATATTTAACCGGGTATGGCTTTTCTCTTTTGCCAAACCTGTAAACCAGCTATTTTCTAGGATTCGCACGAGCAAGACTAAAATTCCACTTGCAGTATAAGCAGGTCTTAGCCTCCTGGTGTAAGCTTCGTGACCCATGGTTTTATCCAGTAAAACTACAATATTATCCAAAGCACCTCTCTATTGAAGTGTGTGACCTTAACTCTTCATGAACTTAAGCTCTGCTTCACACTGACTCAATGACAAACTCTTTTTGGTAATGCCAGGAATTCTGCCTTCTGAGTCGCGAGCTCTCAAAGGTACACTTCAGGCTGCTCAAGCAGCACGGAGTAGTCGCCTCCCTAGATCGGCCGCTGCAACCTTGGAGACCTTCCCTTCGAAAATTCGCCAGAATCCTTACTGTTTTTCTTGAAGCTTGAACTATCTTGCAAAGTCCTGGAAGCAAACTTTTTTCCTTTTTTAAAAATATCTAACTACTTTCTGCTAGTTTTTCTTTTAAAAAAAACTAAAGGTTTTGTTGAGCCTTAATTGTGACCCAAGTTAAAAATCAAAGACCTATGCCAGGGGAAAACTACGGGAAGATTGCCATTGGTTTCCCTGTTGGAATCCCTCACTGGACTCAAATGCTGGGCTTCAAAAAATCTATTAATCTCGGAATAAACAGAGACTGCGAGGACCACGGGGTGGGGGTGGGGGGATGGAGATCCTGAATTAAACTTTGGGAAACCCCATAGAAGAGGAGCAGGGGAGTCCAGAAAAGCCGCACTCGCCTTACTAGGACTGATGCCGCTCTTCCCGGAGCTTTGGCAAAATGCTTCACGTCACTCAACTTTCTCCGGTCATCCTGCTCCCCAGAAACGTGGGGGCCGTTTTCTCCAGGGCTTTTAATTCCCAAGCCTGTCTACGGGTCCCTTCCTCCCTGTCCCCCGGCGGCAAGCTGTGAGCAGCGGCAGTCCGCCGTCGCCGGCCGCTCCGGTAGGTGTCTCCGCTGACTTCCCGCGACGGGGCTCCTCACCTGGGGGTAGAGATGCTCCAAGAACTGCTCCCGCGTGACGCCCCGCAGCCGGGGGACCGGAAGGCGCTGCTCCGCCATGGTGGGCTCAGGTTGGTTTTCACAGGCCTGGCAAATAGGACGAGTTCGTCCCCGAGTAATCCTCCCGGAAACACAACCCAGGGAGAAAAGGGCCGCGATGGTGACGGACTTGGGAAGGCGGCTGGTTTGAATTTCGCGCGGGGCGGGGAGCCGCTGCCGGCTGCCTGGGCCGAGTGTGTCCCAGCCGCGATGGGCAGATTCACCAGAGGGGGCAGCAGCAGGCGGCCTTTGCTCCACTTCCCCGACACCGCCGAGCTGGTTTCCCTCCGGTCTCCTTTCGGCACTGCACATGCATACAGAGGTGAAAGGTCACGAACATGGCGCTGGCCGCCCGTCTCCTGCCTCTCCCCGGCCGGGCGACCCTTCTCCGGGCTCTCAGTACCACCGAGGTGAGGCTGTCGCCAACTGAACTTTGCTGCCTGTGTCGCCGCCGCCTGGGCTCAAGCGCGGCCCCGACCCCTTGCTGCACTTGGGCCCGGGCAAGCCCGGCTCTGCGTTCCTGGGGGCCCCGGAGGCCCCTGCTCCGCCGGGCAGAACTTCCTCCAGCCCTCGCTTCCTTACCCGCTGCTCCCAGCCGCAGCTACAGCACCGAGGAGCAGCCCCAGCAACGCCAGAAGACCAGGATGATCGTTCTGGGCTTCTCCAACCCCATCAACTGGGTCCGGACTCGGATTTACGCCTTCCTTATCTGGGCCTATTTCGACAAGGAGTTCAGTGTCGCTGAGTTCACTGAGGGGGCGAAGCAGGTTTGTTTGCTTCCCTAGCCTGTCCGCCTCATGCGTTTCAGCTCCTGCTTGCTCAGGTGTTTAGCTGTGAAGTTCTTCGTGGCGATCCAAGTTACCAAACGATGGTAGTGACCCAGACACTGAATCTTTCAGCCACTTCTTGACATTAATAAGCATCTAGGTGTGTTTGCGTGGTCGTCGAGAAGGAGGGGTTCAATTAAAAACTAGGGTGAAGGCCTTCCACTTGTGTTTTTCACTTCAGGCTTTGAGGCAGAAGTGAGTTCAAAACCTGTTTGTTCCTGCCACTTTAATGCTAGTTAGCCTTTTTCCAGGTATGAGGTTGTTTTTTTCCAGAATTAGAAAATTAGAGAAGACAGAGCCCAGCACACATAGTAGGCACTTCATAAGTGTTTGTTAAGTAAATTGAGTGCATAAAATTAATGGTGAGGAATAGTAAGCACTGCCAGAGTACTGTGATGTCATTTCAGGTAGAAAGGCAGCTTCCTGCCAGCTGTATGAGAACTGCATTGCCCTCCTCCTCTACCTATGTATCCTTCAGGATTATGAGGCGTTTGCTGAGGCTGCAGGTCTACCCAGTGCCCAGACCCAGCAAACTAGGACTACTTAGGCTTTGGTGGTTCCTAGCTCCGACTTTGCCCATCATGACCTTCACAAGAGGCAATCTATACTGCCTTAGAGTGGTCACTTTGAATCCTGAGATTGTTTACAGACTTTGTGTGCACATGCATCTTTCTAGGATGTAATACAGACTTTGTGTGCACATGCATCTTTCTAGGATGGAATACAGACTTTATGTGTACATGCATCTTTCTAGGATGGAAGGCTATTTTAATTTTCCTTTCAGTTTTCTTTTGTCAGTCCCTACCATTTCAGAACTATAGACTGACACAAAGGTAAAAGTCATAGTTTATTCCCCAGTTCATATTGTCAAAGACTACCAGCATAATAATTTAATAGCTCTGACTATAATTACTGATATTTATAATTTTACTCCTGACTTATTTCAGATTTACACCCCCAATTGTAGCCATTTATACCCAACTCATGTGATGCATTAGTTATAAATTAGTGTTTTTAGCTTCATGTAATCAGTGTCAGTATTAACTCGTTTCTTTGAGTCAGCTCTTGGCTAGTACACGCGTTTGCACAAAAATAAAAAGGAGCAAGCTTGAGTAATAATGCCTACCTCAATATCATGATGAAGGGTAAATTTGCTAGTTGGTGTTCTCTGCGTCAGTTTTGCATGTAGAGATAAATTGGTGTGATCGTACACTCTTTGCAGTGCCCAGGTGCGAGTCTACCTCATCATCCGTATATGACTGCCCTAGTTCATTTATGTGTCAGGAATGGAAATCATCATAGAACATGAAATTGAAAGGGCCTCTTGTCTAATCATCTTGTAGGCATAAAGAAGTCAAGTTTTAGAAAGGTTAGTGTGCTAAATTTAAACCACACTGTCCAAAAGTAGTCTTGGTGCTGGAAAGAGAGCTCAATGATTAAATAGACCTCTTCCGGAGGTCCTAGGTTTCCCACATGGCAGTGCATAACTGTCTGCAACTCTGGTTCGAGGGAGTCTCACCCTATCCTCTGACCTCAGAAGGTATGCTATGCTCACATGGTTCACAGACAATCATACAGGTAAAGTACTCATACACATAAAAAAAAATAGGAAGAAATAAATTCCTAAGAATAAAAGCAGGCTTGGTCCTCCAGTCATCAGCAGTTGGAATGGATACATATAATCTAGTCAAATATTTATCATGAGATAAGGAAGTATATACTCTAATGCACCCACTTGCCATCTGTATGTATAACTTTTGTCTTCTTAACTACCCTTGAGAAATTACTGTTTCTTAGAGCTTTCTTGTACAGTCATTCAGTGTTTTCTGTGAAAAAGAAGGCTGTTTCTAGAAATGTGTTGAGGTAGACATTTCTACATCACTGGACTCTTACCAGGGAAGCCTCATTATAATTATTACTTTTTAGGACAATTTTCTCAGGTATGATCTCGACCACACAAGCTAGAAATGAGGTTTCTGCATAGTGATTATAGTTCTTTTGTCTAGATTGCCACTCATATTGCATGTGAGAGCTTACCAAACATAAGACCTCTGACCCTGAGTACCTCTTTAGTGTTCAGGAGATCTTGAATCCATTTGTGCGTGTGCATTTTCTCAGAAGTCATCTGCGTTGTATTATAGGAGAGGGCCACAGACTGAATAGCTTAAACAGAAGTGTTTCACTGTCTAGGCAGAGGCTTTGCTTTCTCCTGAGGCCTCTGCTTTGTTTATGTCTGGCATCTCAACACCTTTCCTCCTGTCACAAAGATCCCAGTTGATGCTGAATTAGTACCTACACTGACCACCTCAGTGTTTTCTCCAATCACTTTTTAAAGGGTTGTCTCCAAATGGAATTACATTCCAAGGGAGGGTTCTGGGCTTCTACATATGCATGGCCGAGAAGACAGTTGGACCAGTAATTTTTTGAGAAATTTAGTATACATATGCCACACACTGTCATTTCCTGGGACCTAAAAATGGATTCAGAATTAGTAGTTGGCTCATTTGCAACTACATATGTGACCATACTATCTGTAAAAAGTCAGTCAGCTTAAAATAGCAGCCATGACCAACATTATTGTAATAATTCTTGATGTCCCATTTGCCATAAAGCAAATCTTTATTATACTAACCATTTAAGTATGTATGTTATATGGTATTTTGTATGGTCTTTTGAAATAATTGTAATCTTTACCCCTTTGTTTTTTTCAAGGCTTTTGCTCATGTATCTAAGTTGCTGTCACAGTGTAAATTTGATCTATTGGAAGAACTTGTAGCCAAAGAGGTAAAGTGTTCTTTTAACTTAAAAAGTATATGACTCTTGGAATAGAATGATACAGTCTCACTTATATTCTATCAGTAATTACTTAGTTGAATAACTTTTAGTTTTATTTTTGAGAATGAGTACAATATTTTAAAATATTGTCTTGGAAAATTCAATGATAAACATCACTTTTTAAAATACTTAAGAACTTGAATGGGTAAACTGGTTTTCTTTTTCCAACTCAGGTGCTACAGGTATTAAAAGAAAAAGTCACTTCACTGTCTGATAACCATAAAAATGCACTTGCTGCCGAGGTAGATGACATTGTCTACACATCAACAGGGGACATCTCCATTTACTATGATGAGAAAGGTAACGCTGGCCTAGGCAACTTTATATGACCATTAATTGTTCAAATAAACCAAAATAGTGAGTACCGCAGGATGAAGGAGTTACATCTGTGTGAACAGACATTTGTAGCCCTTCAAAGCCTGTATCACTTTTCTAGTTTGTAAAACCAACCTAGTATACATAATAAATAAATAAATAATAAGGGTTTAGAAAGAAAAATAGTATGTCACATTTGCTGTTTAAATACCTAACACTGAAAGCTGGTGGCTGGCTAGATCTCTGTCTGGTTACTGTTTACTACCCAGCAGGAAAATCCAAGGCAGGGTGTGATGGCTCACATTTTTTATCCTCCCCGCCCGCCCCTCCAGAGGAAGGAGGATCTCTGAGTTCAAGGCCAGCCAGCATTGTGAAGAGAGACCTTATCTCAAAAACAAAAAACAAACAAAAATTCTCATATATGTTGATGAAAACATTTGTTTCAAAGCCAGGTGTTGGTGGCTCACGCCTTTAATCCCAGCACTCGGGAGGCAGAGGCAGGTAGATCTCTGTAAGTTCGAGGCCAGCCTGATCTACAGAGCCAGTTCCAGGACAGCCTCTAAAACAATACAGAGAAACCGTGTCTCGAAAAACAAAAAAACAAAAAAAAAAACCATTTGTTTCGAACAGGCTGCCCCCATGTTTCAAAAAAAATTGTATATCATATTTCCTAAAGTATAGGAAACACTTTAATATTTTACATTTCTAGCTGTAATTTTGGAATAAAACTAAAACAGTATAAGATAAAGGTAGATTAGAAAAAGGATTACAAAACTCCCAAATTGAGTTAGGTAACAATGGTAAAGCTAGAAGGAACTATGGTGGTTATGTGGTTCTTTTCCTTTTCCAGTACATGAATTTCCCAATAGCACATCCAAAAGTTAATCAGTTAATCAGTCCATTTTCAGATCTCTGTATGTATGCATCACAAGGTAGGCGAACAAGAGGGATAGCCACTGCTGAGATCCTATAAGACTGACAATAGAGGACTTTTAATAGATAAGCTCACAGGCAAGTTAATTTGAAATGTTTGCAAAGTATCTTGGGTAATATTTTATTCCTCCCTAACATTCCATACTCCATTTTAGCACCATAGTTATTAACTGAGTTACACACACATTGTGACACTTAGGCACAACAAAGTAACAAGGGCCTTTCTTTGGAACAGTTGAAGTAGGGGCAAAATTGTAGGTGTGGCCTCTCTCTTGTTGGGGGTGGGGGACCACAGGTATTTGCCTTAGGATTGTTTTAATCTTAGGAAATGGTGTAAATTAAGAATAACCCATGTGGTGTACTCAGTAGAGTATGTGTTTAACAAAGAGAACAAGCTCTAAGACAGTTTTTGGAAAAGAAAATTGTGTTACTTCACGTATTTTAAATTTCCCTGGAGTGTGCACAAAGGCTGACCTGGGACAAGTGTACTCCTGTTTCTGATGATGTTATGGCTATGTAGCTGATAGATATTCTGATTGTGTGTGTGTGTGTGTTTGTGTGTGTGTTTTCTCTCTAAGGAAGGAAGTTCGTTAACATCCTGATGTGCTTTTGGTATCTGACTAGTGCCGACATCCCCACTGAGTCCATAAGTGGAGCCAGTGTGTTCCAGGTGAAGTTGGGGGATCAGAGCGTGGAAAGTAAACAATTGCTTAGTGCAAGCTACGAGTGAGTATGATTGTGCATTTTGTCTTCATTGTCTAGAAAATGAAAAACAGTGTAAAAGTATGAAAACTGAAGAGAGCTTTAGAAAGAAAAGGATTGAAATTTGACAAGCTATTTATGAAAAAAAACTGAATATGAAATGGGATTGTTAAAAGTGGAAAGTAGTAGCATTTCACTGGGCATGGTGATTCAGACTTTACATCCTAGCCCTCAGGAGGCAGAGGCAAGTGGATCTCTCTAGCCAGTGTGGTCTACACAGTGAGTTCCATCCAGGCCAGCCAGGGCTACACAATGAGACTGTTTCAAAAGAAAAAAGTAACCTGCAGTCAGTGACTTCAAAGAGCCATTGTCTTTGCCTGTGACTCACTGCTTTATTAGTTATAGAAGCTCAGCTCTGGGACTTCCTCTGCCTCACTTGCATCGTGTAGGGTCTCAGGGACAGGAGGATTCATTCCCACAATGGCTTCACCTGTCATGTGTGGCATCTCTCTGGCATCTCTTTCTCTAGGACTTTTGCAGCTTGGCTTGTGGCTTTAGTCTAACTTGTGACACCATTTGCCTGGTGACTGGATGCCGAGAGGTAGAACTTGGAAACTGATGGGCTCATAAACAGAACTAAAGCAACATTATTTTGCTATACCTGGCTGTCAATAGTCACAGAATTTGTACAATTCAAATGGTGTCTAGAAACACCCCCAACCCCCACTTTGAAAAACAATAAATAGCAAGGTCACGTTGCCGAGGTGTATATGGGATGAAACATAAGATGCCCCCATCTTTGAAAATTAAAATCTGCCATTGTTGGCGTAGGTATTATTCATAAGATGTTTATTTATAACCTCTCATTGCTAAACACTCCAGATTAGATGCTAAAGTGAAGGGATGCTGCCTGCCCTTAAAGAGACTTAGAAAGAGACATTATTTTATAATATTTGGAAGGTGAGCAGCTAATACATGTCAATGGAGACACAGTTTGTAAGAAATACTGTTATTTTGCCAGTTAATTTATAAATTTGTTTTAAAGTAACAAAACAGATGCAAAAGATATCCTAGGAAGAAAAATATATTGTTTTACTAAGATATATAAGAATCATATCCTCATTTTTTTTCCACTTGTGTAAAAGTTTTCTTTTCGTGTGTGCTTGTTTGTTTTGAGACAGGATCTCACTATGTATTCCCGACTAGTCTGGAGCTTATTATGTAGACCAGGCTGATCTAGAACTCACAGATCCACTTGCCTCTGTCTCCTGAGTGTTAGGATTAAAGTAGTTTGCTATCATGTCAGGCCTGAGAAGTGTTTGTTGTTGTTTTGTTTTGTTTTTATGCTTTGATTATAATTATCCAAAATATTATCTAGATATTAAATACTTGTTTAGTTTTAATCTATTAATTGCTTCTTTTAAAATGTAGATCTGTGGCATCAAACTAAATTTTGTCTCTTCTAAGAGACATCCTTATAAGAGTAGGATGTTTCAAAAATACTAAGACTGGGGCCTGGGGAGATGGTTCAGTGGTTAAGGGAACATACTACTCTTGCAGAAGATCCAAGTTCAGTTTCTAGGTCTCAACCATCTGTCATCTGCTTCATGGAGAGCTAATGAATGTCTCTGGCTTCCATGAGCACCCACATCCACACACTTTCACACAGTCTCTCTCTCTGTCTCTCTCTCTCTCTTTCTCTGTCTCTCTCTCACACACACACACACACACAAAATTAAAAATAAATCTTTTTTATAAAGCTGATACTTGCTGGGTGGTGGTGGTGCATGCCTTTAATTCCAGCACTCGGGAGGTAGAGGCAGGTGGACCTCTGTGAGTTCGAGACCAGTCTGGTCTACAAGAGCTAGTTCCAGGACAGTCTCCAAAGCCACAGAGAAACCCTGACTCAAAAAAAAAAAAAAAAAAACCTGAACAAATTCCATAATTTTTCACTGAATTGGTAACAGTGAGATGTTCAGCAGTCTTTTCCTGTATGCTCATATTTAAAATGCTGTTTGTATTCCCAGAGTTCAGTTTCCTTCTGCTCATATTAGACATGTAATAACAAGATCCAAGTTTCTTTCAGGGGCTAGCGAGTGTTGAATATATATCAGACATTAAAAATGCGGGAGTTAAGATTGTACTTCAGTAATATGGTATTGTAAACATTTGAATTGTGACTTACCATTTGATTAACTTCTTTTTAAACACTGCTTTTAATTCATACTTGCCAGTTGTATAGCTATCTGAGCATGTTTGGGTTGATGGAAGATCACTATATTTATGTTTTTCCTAGATTTCAGAGGGAATTTACACAAGGAGTAAAGCCTGACTGGACTATTGCACGGATTGAACACTCAAAGTTACTAGAATAATCTTTCTTGGAACAAATCAGGGTGTGAACTCTTAATAATTGCTGTGAAAAACTAAGGAAGAAACTTTTCTGGATCAGTTGATTTTCACTTAGTTAAGTCTGTGGATTAATTTTGTATTATTTGGAAATATTCCTTGCAGTATATTGACATGATACAATAAAACATTTTCCACAGATTGATAGTGGTCTTTAAAGGAGGTCAAAGTAAAAGACAAAACTACGACACCACATTGGTGTCATGTTTAGTGTCATTCTAATGGTACATATGTATATATGTAAACAAAACTACAGCACTACATTGGTGTCTTTGTCTTTCTAATGTTTTATATGTATATATGTCACAGACTAATTTTATAGACACGAATTATTGAAACTACTTGTGTATCTCTACATTAACAATCCTAAGTTTCTGTAAGATCTTAAGTTGCTGTGGCCTGACATGTTTTAAGCACTATCTAGATAGAAAGACTGGATAGAACTATAGCAGCTTGACATCTGTAGAGCTTCCATGTTTGTTAACTGTTCACAACAGTGAAGAAATGAAGCCAGCCTAGATGCCATGGACACTGGAGTACGTGAAGAAAATGTGGTGCATACACACAATGGGATCTTGTTCACCTGTGAAGAAGAATGAATTCATGACATTTGCAAGCAAATGAATGGAACTGGAGATCAGTGTGTTTGGTGAAATAGTTGAGACTGAGACAAAAATTGCGTGTTTTATATGCAGAGTCTAGATTTAAATTTGTGTGCATTGGCATAGGCATGAAAGTACAGAGAGTACTAACAGTGGGGAGGAAGATAGTAGAACACATGTGAAGCAGGATAGGAAACTGAAAGGGAGGTGTAAGTTGGGGAAAGAAGGAAGGCTGGAGAGGGCACAGGAGGGTGGCAGGGGACAGAGATGAATATGAATAAAGTAAAATGTGTGTGTGCATGTGAGAATGCCATGGTGTAACTCAGTACTTGGTATAGTAACTCAGTAAAAACAATGAGGTAAGCATTCATTAGGAAACTTACACACAGGAACACACAATCAATCAGGAGTGGAGTACCGCTTCAGCCAATGCATGAAGAGAATCTTACATGCTTGACTTTGAACTCCTAAAGGCTAGGTCAAGAAGACAAAGCAACATGTTAAGAAAAAAAAGGGGCTAAGGGTTTTCCTAATTGATGAAAACTATAAACCAACAGCCAAGAAATTCAACAAGCAGGACTACACATTTTTTAAATTATTTTTCTTTTATTTTTGAGATTATGATCTACTTGTTTCTCCCTTCCTCCTTTTGCACTCTCCCATATATCCCTCCTTGCTCTCTTTCAAATTCACGGCCTGTTTTTCTTGACTGTTGTTACTTGCGTGTATGTTTTCAGTGCTGACCATTTGGTATTGGACAACCAATTGATGTGTTCTTTCTTGGGGAAGACTATTTCTCCCATTCAGCATTTGTTAGTTGCCTGTACACCATTGTGTAGGGGATAGTACATTTTTTAAAGTCTTGTATATCAGTGAAATGATCTGAAACCAGGCAGTATATTGCAAAAACATCTGGAATGCAGGGGGTGGGGAATGGATATTCCATACACAGAAACCAAGCTAAAAATGAACACAGACTTCTTAAATTTTAGTGGGAGATATTGGATAAATCTTTAAACACTGGCACACAGTGCCACCTTTATAATAAATGAATATGACAAAAGGCTGCCAGAAACTATGAACAAATTTGTCGCAAATAGACATGTTTCATCAGAATTGCTATGGACCATTGAATAAAATGGAATCCAGAAATTGAAACACATACTTGAACAGCTGATTTTACAAAGGTATCAAAATAATTTAATAAGGAAAAGAATTTTCAATAAATGAAACAATTGAAGTTTCTACAAGAAAGGAGTTTAAACTCTTGGCTCCCAATTTTGGTGCAAAGCTCAAATTAAAAAATGGATGGTATACTTAAAAGCCAAAAGTAGAAGTTCTAGAAAGAAACAGGAGAAATTTTGCTTTTTGGAGAAAGGAAGGGTTTTGTTTTGTTCTTTTGGTGTGTGTGTGTGTGTGTGAGTAAAGATAACTAGGAAAGATAATTTCAAATTTAATATTAAGTTGAAATTGCTCTTTGAAAGATAGCAGTGGGAATGAAAAAGCAGTTCCCAGGTTGTGAGGAGATGCTCATAATATGTGTATCTTGCAGAGGCATAACCAGAATGAATAAATAAATCCTTAGAGTTCAATAACAAAATGCTGAACAGTGGCAATTGTGAAGTGGTGTTCTCTATGAAAGTTAAGTCAGCTCCACAGGCATCGGGAATACAAAGAAGACACAAACCACTACAAACTCATCAGGATAGTTTCCAACAACTGCTACTTCAGTCTTGATTTCTATTGATGGCAACAACCAGCCTAGGTGAGTCCTAGGGTTTACTTTTGGGTCAGTTTGACAGGTAACAAGTTAAATGGCTGAGCTTGGTGATGGCCTTCTTAGAAGGCCTTACCTGTGGAGATACAGAAGCACCCCAGTGTATATATATTCTTTACAAGTCACCAGGCTGTCGTGGAAGTTCCACCCAATGACCTTATTCAAGGCCCTACCTCCAAACACTATAGATTAAATTTCACTCTCCTCATAAACTACAATAGGGATCAGGGTGCCATACATACTGCCTGTGAGTATTCAGACCATGTGCCAACCAACAAAACTGCTGACACCAGCTGTTGAAGACATGGAGTAACTGGAATTCCTGTAATTGCTGGTAAATGGACAAAAACAGTGCAGGCACTGTAGAAGAGTGTTGGACAACTTCTTATAAGATTAAATATAGACTTACCATAGGATCTGTGGTACTTTGAGAAGTCAACCCCCTGGATTCACATACTAAACACTCAATCCCTGGTTGGTGATGTTTGTAAAATTATGGAACAAAGGAAGGTGTGGAACCTTGTTGGAGGAAGTGCATCACCTCAGCTGACTTTGAAAGTTTATGGTATCATTCCACTTCCACCTTCATGCTTGAAAATGATCACTCAAGCTTCCTGCTCTGGCAAGCACTGTCATGGCCGCAGGCCCCCTGCCATTGTGTACTCTCCCTCTGAAACTTAAACCAGAATATTCCTTTTTTGGTCCTGGTGTTTCAAGACAACAAAAAGCAAGGCAGGAACCCTAAATTCTATTCTCAAGACATGTACCCAAGAAAGGTGAAAACAAATTACTTGTACAAGCTTTTTTGTTTGTTTTCTTATTACCTCCAAACTAGTCAGGCCTGAAGTAAACACCAAATGGAGAGCTACACAAGCCCAAGAACTGCTTATTTGTGAGGAATTTTAGCAAAGGTAGTCTATAATGACAACTCAGTGGGTGCTTGAGACTATGAAACCAGAGTTGGGGTGCAAGGGTACGTGGAGGTTTGATTGCGTGTGTCCAAAGGAGGTTTGGGGCTGTGATAAAAATGGTGTATATCAAGTAGGGCTGGTTCCTTACCTTTATACAATTAAGACTCATCAAAGTCAGCTTAATATGGGAGAATCATGCTATATTATTTTGTGTTTGTGCAAATTATAACTAAAACTTATAGCAAGAAAGTGTTTCATATAAAAGTAAGATGAAATGATCCTATTTTTGTAAAGTATTAAAAACCTAATCTATATTCCCTCTAAAGTTAGATCTAATCTTCATGTAATTTCACTTAATACATCATAGATGAAATACAGCTACATGAAATGAAAAAGATAATAGCTAAAGTGGATAGGACTAAAATTGCCGCAAATTATCACTTGCTATCAAGTTTTAAGATGTATCCCGAAAGATTTTAAAATGGATGAGGAAAGTGAGTTACAATCATGGGTTTCTGTTTGTCAGTTATACTTCAGTAAAGCTAGAGGCAGCATGGCGGGGAGGGATGTCTAATGCCTTTGTAATTTCAGTGAAATGGAGAATTCTTTAGAATCAATAAACTCCTAGTGTACAGAAAATAAAATTACTTGGGAAATATTCTTGTATGAGAAAAACACCACCAAAGACACCTAGACTAATGATCAAAGGACAAAGGAGCCAACATGAAAGGGCAGCTACTAGATAAACCAGTGTGAGCATAATGAGATTAGGGGTCTCATTGACTGCAACACAACAGTTTCTCAAAGCCATTAGTTTCTTTCAAACCAAGAACATTGGTTTGAATACTTGGCATGCCGTTAGGTATTTAATTTCATAGAATTAATATTGTTGTGAACTTGATGGGATCTAGTATCACACAGGTGACAAGCCTCTGGGAACACCTGTGAGGGAGTTTCTAGAGTGAATTAGTGAAGATGGAAACTATTCCCTGGGCTGAGCTGGTAGACTGAATTAAAAGAAGGTGAGATGATCCTCTGCTTCGATACTATGGATACAATGTAACCAGAAGCCCAAAATTCTGCCATTCTGTCCCACCCCAACTATGAACCCAAATAAACCCTTTTGTTGTGGAATATTAGTTTAAGGTGTGTTGCTGTGGAATATTTGTTCAATGATACAAAGATATGTTGCGTTCTTTTGTGTTGCATTTGTTTAACTCTGAAGCTGTGTTACTTTGCCTGCCTAAAACACTGATTGGTTTAAGAAAGAGCTGAACAGCCAATAGCTAGGCAGGAGAAAGAAATAGACCAGCCTAGAATGCAGAGAGAATAAGAGAAAAGGGAGAGAGGACACCAGGGGCCGGCCACCCAGTCACACTACCAGCCATGGAGTCAGAAGGAAAGAAAGGAATAGAGAATAGAGGAAGGTAAAAGCCTGGAGGCAAAAGGTAGATGGGATAAATTTAAGAAAAGCTTGGTAGAAACAAGCCAAGCTAAGACATTCATAAGAATAAGTTTCCGTGTATTTATTTGGGAACTGGGTATTGGGCCCTCAAAGAGTTAAAAAAAAAATCCAATATCACCCTTTGTCCCTTCAGTTGCTTTTGTCAGAATATTTTATCACAGCTGTAGGTATTATCACCCTTGTGGGAACTTGAAGCAATGGTCTCATTACAAACACAAGAAGGAAGCCAAAAGCAATGATTACCTGTGCTGAATTCATTTACTCCTTTTCATTCTCTCCAGGACCCAAGCTCTACCCACTTTTAGGATGGGTATTCCCACCTTAATGACTTGGCAACATAATCCCACAGAGGCAATTCCAAGGTGATTCCAGATCTTATCAAACTGACAACACTAACCATCACATATAGCAAATCCACAATTTAGATACTCAAGGCAGTATCATTCATTCTATTAATCTGTTAGGAATCTGAGTCGGTTTGAGTTAGCAATGTTTTTGTTTTGTTTTCGTTTCATATTGTATCAGCCAGGGTCACTCATAGGTTTTCTTCATCCCTTTATGTTTTTTGTTAAGCTTTGTTAGGCTGTCTCTAGAGTATCTCTAACCCTATAGAATTTGATCTCTGTGGTGGCTTGGAAGTGAATGGCCTCAGTAGGCACATGTGTTTGAATGCTTGGTCTCACTTTACAGAACAGTTTGGGAAGAGTTAGGAGGTGTTGCCTTGTTGAGGGAGATGTGTCATTGGAGGGGGCTGGAAGATTTCAAAAGCTCATGCCATTCCCAGTTTGCTCTCTCTGCCTCCAGCTTCTGGATCAGATGTAAGCAGCTGGCTTCTGCTTCCGCACCATGCCTGCTGCCATGCTCCCTGCCATGATGCTCATGGAGTCTACTGTCCTCTGGAACTGTAACCCCCAAATTAAATGCCTTCCTTTATAAGTTGCCTTGGTCATCATGTTTTATCACAGCAATAGAAAAGTAACTAAGATGGTCTCATTATTAAGAAGTAGCATTTATTAGGTCTCTACTGAATTCCCTAGCTGATCAAATAGAACAGACTCTGCTAACTAGATGAGACTGTGATTAAATTCCCAGAACAATAGGATTTCTCACAGCTGATCACTGCCTGACTTCAATAGAATCTTGTTAAATACTTCAATTCTGAATACTTAGACCTTTATTTCTTCAAGAATAGGACGGTATCCTGCATAGCATAAGAAAATAATTGCATGTTGCCTAATAAATAAGTCATTTAAAATTACACTATCTTTAAAATGACTTAAAATTGAAGGTTTCATATTGCATTTAATTACAATGACCTTTCAATCCTCTTAACAAATTTAGAATATTCACCTTTTTTCTATGACTTCACAATTTTGAGGAATCTGGAGTTGCAGGCCTACAGCATGCCCCACTTCCTGAATGATGGTCATTTTATTATGAAATGATTTCTGCTACTTGGAAGTTAGAGCCAAAGCTAACTTGATTAGATTCTACATTTAAAAATCTGGCAAGGGGGCTGGAAAGAATGCTCAGCCATTAAAGGCTAGGCTCACAACCAAAAAAATCTGGCAAGAATGCCTTATGAGTTATTTGTGCACCTTATACTAGATCAAGTTAAGTGCTACGTAGTTTCTAATTATTGCATTGTTTAAGATGATAATCGTGAGAATCCTTGATTGTGAAAGCCATTTTTCTCTTTTGCAGTTAGCTAACAGTCTGTAATTAATAGTTTGACATCTTTTAGATACTCTACTCACTAGCAACCACTGACAAAGCTGTGGTGGGGGAATAATGCCCACATCCCACTTCAAGACATTTACATCTGATTCCTGGTACTCATGATTGTGATGCCTTCCTCTGGAAAAAATGAGACTTGTCGGGTGTGATTACTTTAGTTGTCTTGTCCTGGTTCACGTCTGTGGGCTCAGTGGTGGTTTTATAAGAGGAGCTGAGAGGGTCAGCATGAAAGGAAGTGTGATGACCCAGGCACAAACTAGAAAGATGGAGGACCTTGAGAGTCAAGAGCATGTTCCCTCGAGTTTCCTGAAGGAAGCAGCATGCTAACCTTGTTTGGACTTTTGGCCTCCAGAACAGCAAAAAGATAGGTTTATGTGGTGACAAACGACCACACTGAGATGCTTTGTTACCTCAGAGTGAGAAATCTGTATACAAGATCAGTGTTCAATTATAGTTTTCAAAATGGTGACTCATTAATTCCACACTATTTTCTACTATACTTTCTTTATTATAAAACATGGCCCTAGCCGGACGGTGGTGGCGCATGCCTTTAATCCCAGCACTCGGGAGGCAGAGGCAGGCAGATCTCTTGTGAGTTTGAGGCCGGGATGGACCGGTAGCCTCCAAAACAATACAGAGAAACCCTGTCTCATAAAAAAAAAGGCCCTATCTCTTGATTTTCTTATACTTATCACTATAAACTTTGAATGTTTTAAATAATCAATTATTTTTCTATGTTTCTCAAATCCTGAGATTAAAGGTGTGTGATCCCAAATGTTGATATCACCTTCATGTGAGCTTTCTCTTTAGAACTGGAGCAATTTCGTGTAGCTCAGTGTGGCCTTGAACCAACAGAGATGCATCTGTCTGTCTTCTGAGTCCCGAGATTAAAGGTGTGTGCCACCACTGCCTGGCTCTATAGCTAGCTAGTATGGCTTCTAGGATTGAAGGTATGTATCACCATTGCCTGGCTCTATGGCTTGTGACTAGCTTTGCTTTCTGTACACTCAGGAAATTTTAATAAATTATAAATATCATCACACACCTGTTGGCCAGTAAGTTTTTTTTAATTAAACCAATCACAGTGACAAATCTTCACAGTGTACAAAGATATTGTTCCACTCTCTACCCCATCACTCCCTATACTCTGACCCTGATTTTATCATCCTGTTGTCTAACTGAGAGGCAGGAACTTGTAAACAGCTGTATTCCCAGGCCCTACACAGTAGAACTCGGTAGATGTTAGTTAAGTGCATAAATTGTGGCTCTTACTTTCTTGGACATCCTAGTTCACATGAGAGGAATAATTTTCCTCTTATTCTTGCTTTAATGTCCTAGCAAGCTGGGTGAGATTGTAAAACTTATGTACAGTCCCTTCTCAAGGAGTATGTGGTATTGGATATGTGATCTTGCTTTTATGATGGGCAGTAAATGTCATTTATCCCAAATAACCACTTGGTGGAGCTAATTGTGTGTGGAATCTAAATGTCAGCACTGGCACTAAGTTTGGTAGGATCTTATGTCACTGAAGAATGGAGGATTGCTGTGCTTATCGACGTACCTTTGTAGCAAAGCTATGTCATAAACCTTTTCATTAAAAAGGTTTGATGAAAGTTAACTTCTTGTTAAAAAGTTGACACGGAGCAAAGTAGAGGAGACTTTTGTTACATTTTCTGTGATGGCTGGAAGTGAAGACTATAGCATTCCCTCTCTCTGATTGCCCCTCCTCTCAGAAGGCTGTTTGGGGGCTGTAAAGCATGTCAGGACAGTAATAACATACAGTAATAACAACTCTAAACCAATGGATCAAAACAAAAGTAAATGTTTTGGTTTTTGGTTTTTTTGTTTTTTTTTTTTTTGCCATACTGTATGTCTGGGAAGAGATGGGGTGTAATATTGTTTATACTCTTACAAATAAAGCTTGCCTGAAGATCAAAGGGTGGAGATAGCCACTAGTTAACCATAGAGGTCTAGAGGTCTGTGCAGACAAACAGGAAGTAATATGGCTGGACGGAGAGAGGAGATAAGGCAGGAGGAGACAGGAGCTTGGTTTCTTTTCGGTCTGAGGATTTTGTAGAGGTAAGAGTTCTAGTGGTTGGCTGTTCAGCTTTCACCCCCTAATATCTGATTCTTTTATTATTAAGACCTATTAGAACTCGTGTTACAAGGAGATACCTGGGCCTTTGTACTGTACTGCCCCTGTGAACACAGGCTAAAGGGCAGTCACTGCATGGCACCGCAGTAAATGATACAACTCCAAAGGGCCTCACATAAGCAATTACATGTTGAATGGGACAGTGAGAAAGTTCAATGACTACAACATGGCCCTGTCAACCATGAGGATCCAGGAAGAACAATTTAGCACATTCTTGGCAAGCTACCATTGCACCAGGGGTAGCAGGGTTCATATTCTGCTGTCCCATCAGAAACATCTTGCTGGAGAAGCACCGATATAGTTTATTCCATCTTCAGAAAAGGAAACCTCAATCAGGTGCATGCCTTTACTCCCAGTACTTGGGATGCAGAGGCAGGTGGATCTCTGTGATTTCGAGGCCAGCCTGGTCTACAGAGTGAGTTCTAGGACAACCAAGGCTATAGAAAGAAACCCTGTCTTGAAAACCCAAAGAAAGAAAATGAACAAGCAAGCAGAAAAGGAAACCTCATTCTTCAGTGCACTGCACGTTCTGCCAGAGTTTAATTACTTACTTAGTAAACTGCAACTCTTGTTCACTTTTGTCTGACATCTGTCTTACCACAGACCCAGTAGAAATGAGCAGCTGACAATGGTTAGAAACCCCCAAAACTATGAATCCTCTCATTTTAGGCATTAGGGACAGTGGTGGCAGGCTGTCTTTTGTTCTGTAGAACAGCCATGCACAAGGCTGTATGACTGTAAGAGAACACCTGCCCTGTTCTGCGCCCTGGCTTCCATCCTGTTCCTACTGCATCTCTAGTGTGCACTAAAGTATTGCATCTTACCGTGACAGCTGGGAAGCCTCAGCGGAGCAAACGGGACTGTGGTCTCTCTCTCTTTAACATCTTTCTTGTCTTACAATATCTGAATAGTCCCCTGCATTCCAGACAGCAGTAACAACATGATTTCATCTCAAACCAGAATTAATCACCCAATAATTGATCTCATCAGTCAATTCATTGCTAAGAAAGAGATTTCCAATTATTGCCTTATAAAGCAAAACAACAAAAAACAAAAATTGAAACAAAACACACAAAAAAGCTTTTTAAAAAATTTAAAATTATGACAAGTCCACGTATTTTAGTCAGCAGTTTTTGTCTTTGGACCCACATCAAGCAGAAGTGCTGAGCAATGGAAGACGTTGCATAGGCCTTATTGGAATCATCTTTGACCTCTCTCTCTTTCTGGGCCTCAATCATATCAGGTCCCTACTGGGCTCTTTGAATGGAAATATGTTCCCTTGTCGTGCCCTTTGTCCAGGTCTTCAAGGACTTGTCACTTCCTGTCATCCCACCTCTTCTGAGAAGACCTCCCTGGTCATCCAAGAGAGGGCAATCCCAGCCATCATCCTCGTAACATACAGAAGCACTGTGACCTATCTGTCCTTTCTATCTGTTGTCTGTCTAACATACAGAAGCACTGTGACCTATCTGTCCTTCCTATCTGTTGTCTGTCTGTCCTTGTGAAAGACCCCAAATTTATAGAAATAAAATATAAGCTTAAATAGGGAGGGCACCCCACTAGAGAACTTGGGAAGTGAACAAAGGACCCCATCCCAGGAACTGGCCAAACCACAGAATGGAATGTATGTTTTAGCAACCTTAATTGCAGAAGGGCTGTAAACCCACAAAAGGCCAATTCTGGGCTGCTGACCACCTGTGAAGAACTGACCAGGGCATCAGAGATGGGCAAACAAGATTCGTGGGAAACAAGGAGATGATAACAACCATTTACTTAGGGAGAGATGATTAACTCATACCAAGGTTTGAGGAATTTACAACGTGTAGGTCAGGAAGACATCTACTTCCCCTGGTCAGTAGTCACATACACCCCCCCATCACAAGATAGGGACCCCTCCCAAAGGCTTGTGGTTTTTGTCTTTAAAAGCTGATTGTAACTGAACCTCGGGGCCAATCGGTCTAAAAGCTGACCGAGAGGCCCATCTGCAGATGCCTAATTAAAGCCTCTTGTGTGTTGCATCAATTGGCACGTGGACTCTTGATTCTTGGGGTGACGAATCCAGCTTGGGGACCCCTCCTCAATTCGGGGTACCCCAACATTGGAGGTCCCACCGAGATTGTGTCCCCCAGACTCAACTCCACTGCCAATTGGAGGTAAGACTGAGCTCAAAATTTATGTTCTGTGTGTTCTCTCCTGTCTGAGTCTATTCTGGTGCGGGACCTGTATTTGTGCTCTGGGGGGCCTGTATTACCCGGGTTTCGTTTTTGCGCCCCAGAGACCTGTAGTGTGCCCTGGGACGAAAGTTCCAGGGACCTGTATTGTGCCCCGGACGGAGGTGCTGGGGACCTGTATTATGCCCTGGACGGAGGTGCCAGGGACCTGTATTTGAGCCTCAGACAAAAGTGAGGACCTGAAGTGCCTGCAGGACCTGTATTTCGTGCCCTCACCGGAATCTCCTTTATAGCCGCGGCCTGTCTGTCGTCTTTCGTACTGTTTGTCTTCATGGGACAATCTCTAACAATCCCCTTAAGTTTGACTTTAGATCATTGGCCAGACGTCCTGGACCGGGCCCATGATAAAGCGATGGAGGTCTGAAAGAAGAGATCGTGAACTTTCTGTTCTTCAGAATGGCCCACCTTTAACGTGGGCTGGCCTAGGGATGGTACCTTTAATATCACCATTATTTTGCAGGTTAAAGCTCGGGTTGTACAACCCAAACCTCAAGGCCATCCTGACCAGGTCCCTTACATCGTCACCTGGGAAAGTCTGAGCTGCAACCCACCCCCCCTCTACCAGGCTGCAGCCAAGGAAAGATCGAACAGCTGGAGGGAGCCGATAAGCCTGGGACCTCCCAGGCTTTCCTACTCCGCTCGATGGGGGGGAGGGCACTACCAATACTGGCCCTTCTCCTCTGTTGATCTCTACAACTGAAAAACTCATAATCCTTCTTTCTCACAAGACCCCCAGGCCCTAACAGGTCTCATCGAGTCCATCCTCATGGGATGATTGCCAGCAGCTACTACAAACTTTCCTCACAACAGAGGAGAGGCAGAGAGACCTCCTGGAAGCTAGAAAGAACGTCCTGGGGCAGGACAGGAGACCTACCCAGCTTCCCGATGAGATAGAGGCTCACTTTCCCTTAACCCGCCCGGAATGGGACTTCAACACACCACACGGTAGGGAGTGTCACCGTCTCTATTGCCAGACTCTGTTGGCAGGTCTCAAAGGGACAGGGAGACGTCCCACAAATTTGGGCAAGGTACATTCAGTAACTCAAGGTAAAGAAGAAACCCCTGCTGGGTTTCTAGAGCGCCTCATGGAGGCTTACAGAATGTATACTCCTTTTGACCCCCAGGCCCAGGAGAGGGAAGCTGACATAATCATGTCATTCATCCGACAGTCAGCACCCGATATATGCACTAAGTTACAATGCCTTGAGGGGCTGCAGGACTATACCCTGCAGGACTTAGTAAAGGAGGCTGAAAAGATTTTTAACAAAAGGGAGATGCAGGAAGAGAAGGAGGAGAGGCTACGTAAGTTGCAGGAGGAGAAAGAGAGGACAAGAAAGATAGAAAGTGCAATCAGGAATTAACAATATTTTGGGAGACACAAGAAGAGAAGGAGGAGAGGCTATGTAAGTTGCAGGAGGAGAAAGAGAGGACAAGAGAGATAGAAAGCGCAATCAGAAATTAACAAAAATTTTGGCCACCGTAGTGCAGGAGTCTAAAAATAGGCCTAGACAGGCGAGAGACCTGGGAGACAAAGCAAGACCAAGCTAATGCAGTCGGGTACCCTTAAACTCTGTCATAGTCCATGGAACACTCCCTTCCTCCCTGTGAAGAAGCCAGACGCAGGGGACTATAGGCCAGTGCAGGACCTCCGGGAAGTGAATCGGAGGACTGAGGACATTCATCCAACAGTACCCAACCTGCCTCCAAGCCATGTCTGGTATATGGTACTCAACCTTAAAGATGCATTCTTTTGCCTCAGACTGAGCCCTCAGAGTCAGCCCCTATTTGCCTTTGAATGGAAAGATCCCAGGACCGGGTTCTCTAGCCAGCTCACATGGTCACGACTCCCTCAAGAGTTCAAGAACTCACCAACCCTCTCTGATGAAGCCCTGCACCAAGATTTGGCGGACTTCCGAGTCCACAACCCCAATATAATTTTACTCCAATATGTAGATGATCTCCTTCTGGCTGCAGAATCAGAACATGACTGCTTCCAAGGTACCGGGGCATTATTACAAAGGTTGGGGGAAAATGGGGTATCGGGCATCAGCAAAAAAGGCTCAGTTCTGTAAGAAGCTAGTCACCTACCTAGGGTATCGGCTTCAGGACGGTCAGGGCTGGCTGACGGAGGGACGAAAACAGGCTGTAGCCCTGATTCACCCACCCAAAAATTCCAGGGAGGTGCATGAGTTTCTGGGTAGTTCGGGGTTCTGCTGCCTCTGGATTCCTGGCTTTGCAGAATTAGCAGCCCCACTCTACCCTTTGACTAAAGTTATGGCCCCCTTTGTATGGAAAAAGGAGCACCAGGAGGCCTTTGACAATATCAAACGGGCCTTGTTGTCAGCACCTGCCCTGAGTCTCCCCAATATAAACAAGCCCTTCATCCTCTATGTGGGTGAAAGGGCAGGACTGGCAAAAGGAGTCCTAACACAGCAGCTTGGGCCATGAAAGAGACTGGTAGCATACTTCTCAAAGAAACTGGACAATGTAGCGTCAGGATTGCCCCCATGCCTCCAAATGGTGGCTGTAGTGGCTGTCCTCACCAAAGATGCAGACAAATTGACTTTAGGTCAGCCACTCACAGTGGTGGTCCCCCATGCAATAGAAGCTGTGGCCCGACAGCCGCCTGGTAGATGACTTTCAAATGCACAAATGACCCATTATCAGGCGCTGCTCCTTAACCCCGACAAGTTGCAGTTCGGGGCAGCCACATTCCTAAATTCAGCTTGGGGACCCCTCCTTAATTCGGGGTACCCCAACACTTGTCTGTCCTGTGCCCACAAGAGTTAGGCTTTAACACCTCATTGTGTGTGTTCTACTTGACTAGTGTTCCATTCAGGGCAGGGTTACCTGACCTCAGACTACTGACATTTGAGAATATATAATTGAAACAACTGGAGTTGACACAGGACACAGAAAGTTCTCAGCACAGAAGAGATGTATTTGTCCCCCGAGGGACAGAAGGCATAAAAGACAAAGACAGGAGATAGAGAACAAGGGAGAAGGCGAAGGGACAAAGAGAGGGAGAAGGGGTATTTGCCCAGAGGACAAATAGAGAGAAGACAGATGTGGCCCATAGGCAAATGGCAGTTTATCAAGGGAAAATCGGAAACCCATGTTAGGATGAGCTGGTTTGTTTTGACTGGGCATGTTAATTAGGACAGACAAAAGGGGACTTTTGATTGCTAGACTTCCATACTTTGATAGCTGGACCTTGCTGGTCACCCTCAGTGATCAAATAAGGGAAGTGTCTAAATAAGAGAATAGACCTTGGTAGCTGGCTTTAGGGATGTAATCTATGGCATAACGAGGAAGAGGATGGGAGAAGGGCAAGACCTGCCCAAGTCATGTTTGCCAAGCGCAGGCCTAGTATAGCCCTTCAACAATTCTTCACTGGGGGCTTCAGAGAGAGCTATCCTGTGCACGGTGGGATCTTTAACAGTGTTCTTGCCTTTGACCGTTAGATGCCTTTTTAATGACAACCAAAATGTGCAGACCAGACAGTGCTAAATGTCTGAACAGTTAGAGTAAGAGCCAAAGTTACATTTTAAGTCTTAATTACTATGCCTAAGAGATCCATGAAACAAAAATGTCTCTGATCTGCAAGCCCCTTGCCCCAGGGCAGATAGTTCCTGAAATGCTCAAGGCTACTTATGGGAGATAACAAGTCACATGTTTTCACTCTCTTCAACAAGTTTGTTTGACCCATCTGCACCTAATGTGCTCGATTACATGTGGGCGGGAGGTTCACAGGCAGGAAATGCGTCAGGATGTGTGCTTGCTCCTGATTGGACCTAATGGGAAATGCTGTGAATTATGAGTTTTCCTTTTTAAGCCCTTGCAAAATTTGATTCAGGGCTATTTTTTCTGGGGAACCAGAGATGGATCTGGCCAGAGCCCATCCACCTGGCCAGTATTTGATTAAAACTTGCTTCAAATTTGGCTTTAAACTGTGGGAGTGGTCTTATTCTCCATCAGTGCATTAACATTAGCTGCTGTTATGGCTGTTAATGTGAGAAATTCTTTTTTTTTCTATCAAATGTGGTCAGCCCCTGACAGGCATTGGTAACACACACCTTTAATCCCAGCACTTGGGAGGCAGAGGCAGGCAAATCTCTGTGAGTTCTAGGCCATCCAAGGCTACACAATGAAACTACTGTCTTGAAAAACAAAACAAAGCAAAAACAAAAAAAAAAATGGTAGTCAGCCCAAACAAGGGGTCATAATTCCTCAACCTCCTGCTCCTCTCTGCAGCAATTAACTAAGCTTCCACCAATGTGATGAGACACAGTCATCACCTACTGTGAGGACAAAAGACAGAAGCCATTCTGATTGAGTGTGTTGGTTAGCGCCCTTTTTCAAAAAAAAAATGCTGAATTCTTCTGCTTTGTCCACATGTTCCTTTTGTGTGACATGGAGATTACTCTTTTCTCAACACTAGGAAGCAACACTGTCTTATAATAATAATAGTCACCATTTACAGAATAAATTCAGTGATCTAGGGATTTACATTCACTATTTCCAACAGTCCTTCCAGAGGGGTCATCGTTATCTTCATTCTACAGACAGGGAAATGGGGGCATCAAATGACTTATAAACTTGTCTAGGTTTGTGCCGTTGGAAGGTCGGAGATTTGAACCAGGCCTCAGGCTGCATAACACTGTGCAAACAGGAGTGGGTACTGCTTGTGCCGTTGGTAAAGTCTGAGATTCGAACCAGACCCCGAGCTGTGGACACTGTGCTAACAGAAGTGGGCCCTGCTGTGGGAATCTTTGCTTACCCACTAGTGCAGAGACCGGGAAGCAGCCAGCCTTCCCAACCCACGCAGCCCCTCAGTGGTCGAGCCCACTTTCCTCTCAAAGCCTCAGTTACCTATCTCAGCCCTCATTAGACCAGTAACAAGCAGGATTGGGTTAGGAATTCCACGCAAAGGCACATGTGAAAACACTTAGCTGGTTTCTGGCACACAGCTAGTTCTGAATTCATTTTCCTTCCTTTCCATATGGCTCCGAGCCGCAAGCACTGAAAGAAGATCCTAAAGACCTTGGTCAGACAAGCCCATTGGGATATCCAACCTTCAAGCAATCCGTACTTTTCACTGTTCCTGCTCAGAACGGAGGAGAGCGGCCTTCTCAGAAACAGCCTGCCGCGCTGGCATGTTGGCTCACATTGCTAATGACCAACAGTACCAGCCATCAGCACTTGCCTGTTAAGCCAAAGGGAGCTTTTAAATCTGAACTGATTGGACGCCATGGGGCCGGGTTGACAAGTCACCTCCCGCTCCATTTCTTGATGGAAATTAATAGCCTGATCCATTGTTTTCTAACACAGGCAATTAAGTGAACAGCCTGAATCTTTTGGCCAGCAGGGGGCAGCCTTTGCTAACATAAAGGTGCTTTGCTACCTGAGAGAACCCACCAAAAATTGGTTGCCAGTGAAGTTTACCTTGGGGCAGTTTTTAAAATTGGGGCGGGGCACAAATCTCCATGGATAGAATCCTGAGCATTAGAACGGGAGAAAACACCGTGGAGATTTTCCTTCACCTTCAGCTGAAATTTAGAGTTTGGTTCCATTGTGAATGTCGCAAGTCACAGACATTTGCAGACCCCATTCTGGATAGCTAGAAATACTACTCACACTTCTCATGGCTTTAAAGCTTCAGTAGCTGTGGAACCTGCAGCTGGCTCTCGTTATTTATCACATTAATAAAAGAAGTAAACATAGAACCCTATCACTGATCTGTTGGTTTTGTTTTGACATTTTAATAACTACCTTTTGATATTATTGGCTCACTTTGCATCTTTATGAACTGTTCTACTTCATTTTAAGTGTATTTACTTCGAAGCATTTCTATGAGAAGAAATCCATGAACCTCACCACACTGTCAACAGGTGCAAAATTTACAAACAGTACCAAGAGCATCCAGCTGCCAGGCTACCCCAGCCGTCCCTGGAGAAAAGGCCCAAGTAAGGGAAACCACAGTAATTGGGCAGACCCAGCCAGGGGTCAGGGGCAGTGTCCATCCTCCCGACACTTTATCCCGAGTGTTGTCATGGAGACTACAGGAGCCAAACAAGTCCACTGGAGGAATGTTCCCTAACTCTTTGTGATCCTCCCTCTCTGAAACTTGTTCCCAGCTGGGCCTTCCTACTGTCTCTGTCCCCGACTGCTCTCCAGCCTTGTCCTCCCACCCCCAGTGAAAGTTGTGAAAAAGACTAGACCAAAGTAATTTAAGGGGAAGAATTGGTTTTGCCTCCTTTTCTCCTTCCTTCCTTCCTTTCTTTCTTTCTTCTTCCTTTGTATATGTGTAACTTTAAAAAAACCTTTAAAATTGATTGTGAATTTTCATATCATGTACCTCAACCCCACTCATCTCCCCACACCTCCATATCCACCCTCCACCCTTGCAAACCCCCCCACCTCCCTCCAAGAAAACAAAAACAAACAAGAAATCATGTTGTGGAAGTTACCCTTTTGCCCGAACAGCTTTACTTGCAAACGTCTGGCTTCTGCTACACTTGCAATACTGAATCCTCCGAGGGACTCTTCTTGAATATCGCGTTGTTGCCCTGTGTCGTGGAGACCCTGTGGCTATGGTCCTGCAGGACTGGCCCCGTCAGGTGCTCTAGCAGTTCATAGATGGGGTGGATCTTGGGGAAGGCCAACTCAAAGACCTGGATCTGGGCCTGCGTGGTAGCTGAGTTGGTCATCCCACCAGCTCTCCTGCGCCTGCACCACCAGGGCCAGCTCCCCAACTCTGCCCCGATGGGACCAGCTCTCACACTCTCACACCCACAGGGATGGCTCTCCAGTGCCCAAACCACCAGGGCCAGCTCTACTGTGCTGCTCAGGTGAGGTGCAGGGCTCATTATCCTGAGTGCTGCAGCTGATGAGGGGCAGGGGCAGCTCTTCCACACCCACATTGTGAGGTGGAACAGGCTCTCCTGTGGCCCATGAGGGGCAGAACCAGTTAAGCATGGCACTTGGGCATCAATATGGCTTCAGGTGGCAGTCCAGACCACGGACATCCATTTGACCTTTGGGAGCAACACAGGTCACAGTCATCAACACAGACCCTGGCCACAGTAGGGCCACAGACCCAAACCTGGCCTTAGGTTGTAACCTGGGACTGGACATCACCAAGGCCCCAGGTGGCAGCACATGCTACTCAGATCAGTATGACCCTCAGCAGCAGCATGACCTTCAAACATCAACACGGCTTCAGGCGGGGACACAGGTTCCTCAGAGAGGCCTATTCCTCACCACTGCATCTCCAGTTCTATTCACCATCTCCCATTTCTTCCCCATGTACTCTAACTTTCCCATCTCTCCATTATGTATTTGTTCATTATAGTGGCTCCTGCTACCCTGGACCACAGGGGACTTTCAAAGTCCACCCAAAATGGTATACTTCCTGGAGCAAGACCTCACCTCCCCAAACAGTGCTA